GGCAAAACTGGCAAAGACATTTCACAAAACATTCGTACACATTAAAATTCTTATTTTTGTTTATTTGTATATTTGTTATTTGTTTTTATTTATTTATAACTTACGAGATCAAACAAATATAAAATCACAATTTACCACGTAGTTTGGACCAACCTAGCTAGAGAAGGTTGTTTTAATTGGTTGGCCCATAATATTTATATATCAAAAATGTTGAAGATTTGTAACTCTAGTCCAAAAAAGAACATTTCTTTCTAAATAATTTGATTGGGGAGCAGAGAGAACTTCTATTTAATGCTTGTATGTATAATGTATATCCTTAATTTGCCCTCCGTTCCTCATTATCCCCCAGGGGCCCTCTTCTCCCACTAGAAATCTTATTCTGCCACTTCACTGCACCAGGAGAGGATGCTATTTATAGTTGAGTAGTTACTGCAACTTTGCAACTTTAGTCGATAACTATTCTTCAATCTCAGCTTTTTCTTTAACCCCCCCTCCAATACTACGCTTTGTTTTTTATTGCGCAATAGAATTAATTGCGTAAAATGTTAAAGAGGCGTCATTAGTACTTGAATTTAATAACTATTGGCAAGATGTGTATCATATTTTCTGTAAGAATATGCTCGGAATTCAAGACTTTTTGGAGGGAGGGGGCATTATTGCGCGACGAAATTTTCAATTTCAAAAACATTAATAAAAAAGTTCGCAGATTTAATGAAATTTTTACGTGGATTTTATGATATTAAAAAATAGAAAAAAAATTGGAGAGAACTGTTTGAAATTTTCATGATTCATAAACCTTCCCTATGGTCAATGTGTATAGAATACAAGGAGGGGGCGATAGGAATTCCGTACACTTTTCTGTGACGTTTTTGGAATGCTGGAGAACTAGTTTCTTTTGTTGCTATTTTATTTTTTATTGACCAAAAAGCCTAAAATCGTATGTATTCGCTCTAACTTTATATATTATCTTGTTTTTTGTTGGACTGTAATATCACATCAGAGCTTTAGTCCTTTCCCGTCAACTTCTTTGGGTTTGTTTACATTCCTCCCACAGTGTACAGTACATTATGTGCGTATATCTAAGTTGGGCGTTCCTGTATATACAGAGCGTCCCATATCATAATAGATTATCTCCAATCTTTAACGCCAAAATACGCACATAACACTCTAAAAATCTAGCATTATCTGCAAAATAATTTTTCTATTGACCTTGTTAAATTTTTCAAAATGATTCATTCTTCTTAAATTTTCTGATTTGTCCCCCAAATCGTAATTTATACCCATTGACGTGGTCTAATTTGATGTGGGGCACCCTGTTGTTCCTTGATTAGATCGGCTGCCTTTGTTATTGTTGTTACACAGAAACTAGTTCTTCAGCAGTACAAAAACGTGCAACGAGTACGGGAATCCCATCGCCCCCTCTTTGTATTCTTTATCTCCTTGCCGTGACAAACAAACAGACCAGCAAAGTATACAGTTTAAATTTTCTCTTCTTAATTATTCAAAATTTTGAAATGAAATATAAAATTTTACAAGGCATGTGACCGTGATGTGGAATTTTGCCAAGTATGCAATGTTTTGAAGAAAAATATCAAACGGTCCTTAGTCCTGTTTCTAAGTTAGAATTTCAGATATTACGTCGGGTACTCGGAAACCCCAATGATGAAAAACTTAATTAAATCTTGGTTTTCATGTGAAAGATTTTTATCTAGTCTCAAGGTTGCACATTTTTGAAATTGAGAAACGGAACAAGAAAACTGAGCAACTGATTGCAGAAACCAAGGCATTGCGTTCTAATTAACAAAGAGTTTTTCAGTATGAAATTTTCACACATTTATTAGATTGAAATTAGTAAGTGCTTGTTTTCATCCCGAACATAGATTATTTATTAGATTAGAAAATTAAAGATTCTTACATTTTCGGTTTTTCATTTGTTTTAAGAGACATTATAATTTTCTAAAATGACACTCTTGTTTCTTTTAAAGAACATGTACCTCCCTTGTCTAAGCATTTTTAGGTCATGGGCTAGATGAGGGGAGGAAGGCCAGCCACAACAATTTCTCGTCCGAGCCACCTTGTCCTTGCCTTATAATGTGTTTATAAGTTTCTAATTCTTGAAGATAAAGCTATCTTTTAAAAATAAGGCCACGTTAGGGCATAAAATACGGATAGACTTAAGTATTGTAATGATTACATAATGTTGAAATCTTCAAAGCCGTGAGAATGATGTCAAACTTTATTTAGGTGAAACTTAGATCTCTTCTGCCTCCGTAATGGCTAAACTGCGTGATATAAAATGAACAAAATTTTTTGCATACCTTTGCCTATAATTTTCCCCATGGAACCACCCGGAAAAATTCGGTGGTTTTCGTTATAAAATTAACAAAAAAGATTAAAGTTCTATAATCTTGAAATATTTGCGGCATTCTACACCTAGATTATCTGAAAATGCGCGTTAAAAAGGTGAATAGTTTTCAGGACATTGCACTCAAAATTTTAATTTCTATTGAAAGTATTTTTTTCGATTTACAAAAATTTAATATTTCGTTAATGTTATAACGTGACCCGATTCTTAAAAAATGGTTTTATCTTGGAGAATTGAACATTTAAAAAAAGATAATATTCGAAGGACGAAGATTTCGAGGTGGCTCGAACGAGAAAATGAGGAGAATGTCGCTCGGACTAGAAATTGTTGTGGCTGGCCTTCCTCCCCTAGCTAGATGAATAGATATATGCATACACAAAAACACAAGCATACATACTTAAACGACTTGAACAAGTGCCAATATTCTTAAATTGTTGACCAACTTACTTAATCAAAAAATGCTTTGGAGTTTGCCTTTTTTAAGTGATGTAATTTCAATCTATTTTTCTTTGCATCAAACGTATATTTAAAATCAAATGCAACTACGACATTCGAAAAAGTTTAACTAAGAAATTTTAATTCCTATATAAAAAGCTGGGTTTTTTTTGTAGGCAACAATTTTCATTTAATCACGCCCCTTTTAATCGATTTCAGACATATATAAATTTATAAATATTATACAAAGGAATTCATTTACTCTCAGACAAATTAGAATCAATGGAAATTTAACCCCCCCAACGGATTCAATGATAAACACGAGGGCGCAACAAATGATACTTTCAACCTTACTTTGGAATATGCGCAAGATTTTCTGTCAAAAAAATGCGCAACTTTAGTTTCGGAACTGTCGTTTTCAAAATTAGCAGGGGTTTCTCATCCTTTTATTTTCTTCGTATTTGGGGCAAACTTAAGGTACATAATTTTAGTTTTACTGCTATTTTTATTTTTTTGCTGTGACACATTTATCAACGCCACAAACGAGATGATACGCAAATAATTTGACCTTTTGAGGGCAATGAATAAAAAAATAGTCCCTGAGATTTCCGTGTTTTCCCATGTGAAAGCAATTGGAAAGGTGGAAAGCCATTTCTAGTTTAATATCCAGTCTCCATTCTACTTCGAGCTGAGCTACACTCAACTGCAAACTTGTCAGAGAACTGCCAAGTGCTGTTGCAGAGTAGTGTTGTGTAATATTGCTAATTATAATTTTTTCATCAAACTTTTTATAAGATCTTTACTTTCTGTTTTATCATAAATTTTCTATTTTATTATAAATTTTCTCACTTCAGAAACAAAGAAAAGATTGATCCGAAAGAAATCAACGTTTTCAAGTGTCATCTTGATCTTAAGTGAGTATTTTATCGAATCCAACTCAGGGTTTCTGTTTTTTTCCAAGTTTGATGATATGTTGTTTTTCATCTTGTCTTGTTATTTTGCGTATTATGCTTGTAAAGCTGTTTGAGGCCTGTATTCAGCTGTGTAGGCCTGAAGGCAGCTGGGCAGTGTAGATATGCTAACACTAGTAGATTTTATAACAAACTCGGCGTTATATCTGAGCTCACACAGGCGGATTTTACTAAAATATTCTTTTATTTTATTGCGCAGTTATTAAGTCAAGAATTAGTATACATTTGAAGACCCCCCNCTCCCCCTCCCGGGGGTCGGTCACACTAGCTAGGCCGGATAGTAACCAATACCGGTCAATCTGTTATATATTATTTCAACCTATAATCAGTCATCAACACGGGTTAGATCAAAATATTGTCTAAACCTGAAAATATATATTATTTAGACTAAGACTCGGCTAGACTAAGAAGAGATTATTTTACTCAATTAGTGAAATATTTGCGAGTTTTGAAATATTCTCTAGAATATTCCAAGTTGAACGTCATATCTTTACTGGTGAATCATGATTCTTTAAACAGTTAGTACAAACCCAGCCAACCTAGTAGTTCAATTAAATATTACCTAATTATACTAACTAGGGAACCAGTTATTTGGGAGTGGGGTGGTTGGATATTACAGGGCCCAGGGTACCTTTTCTAAACAGTACATTATGTTGATTCTTCTCTTTGTTAAAAAAAATTTGTGTAGCACTAATAAAATAGGATTTTGTATCGCTAAATTAGGGGAAATACACGACTTTTTAAGTTTATACAAAGAACTGTGATATATAGTTTAAAAAAGTTCCTTGGATAAAATATTTTGAAAATTTTTTTTAATATTTTGTTTATTTCAGCTTATGTTCTGAGAGGATAAGACAGTAGTGTAACGAGGCTGGGACCAGGACTCAATCAACCTTGTTAAATTTCTCTAGTTGGGTTTACCACCACAATACACCAGGATGGACAGCAGAGACGGAAACGTTCAACAAAATCACCCCACCCTTTGCAGGTTAATACAGCATAGCTTGAAATGGAATGTCGACACAATGGTTTCCTCTAAAACTTTTCTCTAATTCATATTTCTCTTTTGAAAGTTGATTATTTTAAGTGAGTAGTGGATCTATGCTTCAGAAATAATGGAGCAAATTATCGGAATTAATCGCTTTTCAAGCAAGAAAACGTCGATGGAAAAAAACTTGTTAAGCTTTTTTTGTTACATTGCATTTTTGACTTAATTACATCTTAGCTGTTTTAGTAGAAATATAACGGGGCGTCTTTTTCAGATTTCTTTTCAAATTAGTTCAAATAGAAATGATCCATTTATATATAGGTAATCACAAAATATTCAATATGCAAGATCAAAATTGTGGGAGAAATTTTAAGAGAAAAAAATTAAAACTTTATTTATCGTCACTAAAAATTAGAAAAATCGCCTTCCTTGATCCAAATCCCTTTTCAAAACATTGTTTAATACACTCTTCATATATGTAAATATATACTTTGCTTGTCTGTTTGTTTGTATTCAATAAACGTCAAAACGGCTTAACCGATTGGGCTCAAATTTGTGTGGCACCTCGCGTGACCCCAGGGAAGGTTTTTAAAGGTCAAAATTCAAAAAATGTGTGTTAAATTTTTTTATTTTTGCAAAATTTTTAACGATTTTAAATCCGCGATTTTTTATTAAATTCGCTAATTTTTTACAATGTACACTAAGAGGACATGTTCACAATTGAAATAGAAATGGGCGCGAAGCGCCTTAAGCCCAGTGTTCATAAATTTCATTAGCTAAATTCTTTTTATCTTTAGTTAGCTTTATCTTTATCTGTGATAAGACAAGGACAGGGGTGGTGGGAGGGGGGGAAGGTATCGACTCTCATCTGTTTATTTTTTAATTTTAAAAAGTTTAGGAGGCTCTTGATTCAATATATTATTCTCAGATTTGTGTTTAATGAAACCATATTTTTGTCTCATTTAAGATATGCTTAAGCAACCCAAAACTTGTCGCTTGTCAACGAAAATCGTTTATTTATCACATGTAAAATAAATAAATATGTCGTATCATTTAAGAGAAATGTTATATATCACAATATTTTACTTTCCTAAGATTCACTCCTCTTTACAGCTAAAACCCTTAGAAATAATAGAAGCTCAAAAAAATATCTGCTAATGTATGTATATAAGAATTAAAAGTTGATTACTTGATTTAAATTACCCATAGTAGGCCCCTTGACTCTAACAGACACGTATTTATCACAAAGTTATTAAGCTTATTTTAATTATGCTCTGCAAGCAGGTCTGATCAGTTTCAACTAAACTAACCCAAACAATCAATATTATTTTAAAAACTCAATTCTATTTTACATGAAAATTGAATGGAAAGTTGACAGTAACTAGTTTCTGTTTGAATCTGAGAAAATCCAAATTAATTAATGTGAATATTTAGAAACGGGTGCGGGTTCTACAGTAATGCTGGGAACGAAGGTTTGTGCAGTGTCTGCTACAAGGATCTAGTAAAGAAGAAGCAGGCCCCGCCCACCAATATGCCGGCCAGCCTTGCACCTACTCCAGGTACACAGTACACACACAGCTCAGGCAGAACTTCAGGGGTATTTGTAGATTAGTTATTAGTCACCAGTTCAAAGAGTGTTAACCATGGTTGGCGTTTATGGTCAGGACTTGAGAACTGGGCTTGGGTAATCTCTAATAATTAACCTTCTGTTGACCAACATTTCTGACCCCATGATTCCATTCCCACAAGCAAAGGATCGTTAAGATACTTAAATTCCATTGGGACAATCGAGTAAAAACAATGACCAGCCGCGCTCTGCGAATGTTTTTTGAAGAAAAAGAAATCACGCATTCTTATCTCAAACGACGATACAAATGTGTTAAGCGATAAAATATTATGAATTATATTTATAAAATAATTTTCCTCCTTACTAACTTACTGACGTCAATTCCCTGGTTTAGAATTAATCAAAGAGACTCCTTATTTATTTTCCTTTTTTCCACTCCCTTAATTGGCTTGATTTGAGTTTAAAAGTTTAGTCATTTTGTACGTCTCGTTATAGCTTAATTTTTTCAGACAATGTAATCTAATTGAAATGTAGTATTAATATTATTTTTTTTATTGTAGGAAGCATGGCTAGTCTCTCTATTGAAGACGGAAATGGCTCTGCAGCTTTTGGAGCAGCTTTCGGCGGAGGAGCATTCGGATCCGGATCCAGTATCGAGACTGGTGTCCCAACTGTAACTACTGTACCGGAGAAGGTTGAAGAGGTTTGTGTAGCTCCAGGTGGGGGTGGAGAGCAGGAGGGTCAGGATGGAAAGAAGAAGAAGAACAGGTGCCTGTCTTGCAAGAAAAAAGTGGGACTAACCGGTAAGTTTACTATCTAATTTTCTGCAGTGTCAAGCAGTCAGATAGGAATCAATCCATTTTGACGCCTTTCTTTTTATCGGTCTGGTAAAATATAAATGCCCTTAATCTGTCTATTTCTTGGCTAGACTTATTTTTAAGTAAATAATTTGTGTCTGTCACTCTTCAGTTAATTTTTAAAGGGACTGTGACTCCTCGTTTATAGAGTGTAATGTCCCATTCCCAACGGTACCCTTGGGAAAGCTTTGTCTGAAATTTTTCTTAATGAAGATTGAAAAAATTTACAATCGAGTTTTTCCATACAATGATAATTAAGAGGAAGTTATCAGAATTAAACGCTGTAGAAAAATGACGATATCTTCCAATTATTTGATCATAAAAAAGGTTGAAAGGGTAACGCTGGAAATGGAAGGCTAATAAAAATCAAATCAAAGGATAAGTATCGGAAAAGATTTTAGAGGTTATGAATCTTTATGTACATTGGATCATTATTTGGGTATTATTATTGTAGGTACTACAATATATAATTATATACGATCTATAACTTATTTGTGTATTTAGGTTTCACATGCAGATGTGGCGGATTGTTCTGCTCCATACACCGCTACTCAGATAAACATGTTTGTGGATTCGATTATAAGGTAAAAATTTATGACATTCACGTTTATTCTAGTTAAAAAATCTAGGTTTCTATAAGTCAGAGAATAGTCTTTAAATGTTAATTATAGTTTCTTCATGCGTACATGACAAGAATAAAAAAGCGCATTCTCCTGTTTTCAAATCTTTGTTTTTATTTTCCACAAATTAAGCTACCCTTGAGGCCCAATCAGTTCAGCCGTAACAAAACTATTTCTATAAATGTACTAGGTATGAAATATTAATTGTCCAAAAAATTCAGACAAAATTTAAATAAACCTTCCCAGAGGTAATATTACTTGCCTTAAAAAATATTGGCCCGATTCGTTCAACCGTTTTGACGTTTATTGGACACAGACAAACGAGCTAAATATTTATAGACAGAAAAATAATTAATTTGACGAGGTTTTTGATTTTCCACTTTTTATTAGTTTTTAATAAATATTCAAAATCAAAGTAAAGGAACTGTTTTTTTCTATTCTATGTTTGGATTTCAAAAACTAAAACATCCGATTATGATTGTTTAATGAATAAATGTGTTAAGGCTCTTGGAGCTGAGGAGATCAGCAAGAGTAACCCTGTAGTTGTTGCTGAGAAGGTTGCTAAGATTTAGGAACATCCAGTAGAATATATTGCTAGGTAACCATTTTTTTAATTTGAACATTGTATTGTACATTCAAATGTTTTTAATTTGAACATTGTATTGTACATTCAAATGTTTTTAATTTGAACATTGTATTGTACATTCAAATGTTTTTAATTTGAACATTCAAATGTTTTTAATTTTTGCCTGTAAATGTTGTTTTCCAGCTATTTATCTTATATTTTCTTGTATTCATGGTTGATCCGAGACGATGTTTTAAATATAAATTCATTTTATCAAACTCATCATTCATATTTAATATATCAAGATTTCTGAGAATTCTTTGTTAAACAGTTTTTATATTTCAGTGTAAATGGTCTCTGGTGTCTTCTCTCATCTTTCTGTTAAATCACGTGGAAGTCCTCAACCTTCCGCCTTAGTATTCCGCTTTTACCTGGCGGTATATCCTCTCCGCCTTGGATAGAATGTACCCGCCTATGTAGTGGCGAATGTCCTGGCAAGAAGGATGGAGTCTATATGAATATCGGGAACCGTTATTAACGGCGCGTGATTCTACTCCCGGAACAATATATTCTAAACTACCCTTGTGATATAATAGTTGGAAGCTGCGTGTTTTGGTATGCGTGAATCAGCGTAAATAATACAGTTAATCCAATATTAAAATATTCAACTAATAAAACAACTGGACTGAAGCAGAGGAAATTATTGGGTGGGATTTAAGACTGAAGAAGATNCCCCCCCCACATATTTAGCAAATTTTTCCTGTAACTATGTATAAAGGCCTGAGGGCGCTGCTTCGTGCTATCTGTATATATTTGATTTGATTTCCTCTATAGTAGCATATACATGTTTAAAATATATATGTTGTAAACTGTGTAGTGTTGTTAACCACATATACAACTACCCTCTTCCACACTCAATAGAAATAAATTCTCATAATTTTACATCCTTCCCATTGTCCCCTCCCTGATTCTATTTACCCATTGCTCCCCCCTCCCCATCATACATTCTTCTGAGGGGAGGTGGAACCATATACCATTCTGGTCTAGTATCACCTCTTCTCATCATTCTAGATTAATTTTAGTTCCCAGTCTTTAGTTATCACTTAATAGTTNGTGTCCTAAATATAAATTTTGCTGTCTTATATTATTTTAAATGTAAATCTGTATCAACATTTTTAGTGATTTGCTTTTTCGCTGTTTTTTTCGACTTTGAACGTGTTGATGGGAACCCACGTAACAAATTTATAAATAAAAAGTAATCAATCGTTTTATCCAATCAGTTTTCTTTTCTCTTCAGTTATAATTTCATATGAAGATTGCAATGGCCGATATTATTAACGGTTTGAAATCTTTAACTGATATACTGTGATTAATGTTTAAACTGCTAATGTTGATGTAGGAAAATGAACTAGAAAGAAAATGATTGGTAAGTGATTTAAAGAGGAATAGAAGATGAAGAATATAGAAGATGACGACACTACACAAGGATAATAATAAATATTTACATATGTTTAATAATTAAGCATTTCCCAGATGAGGGAGAGGGATATGGTGAAGAGCCACCGCAAACCCTTTTGAACTTACCTTCGGAGCCTCCTCCTGATTTGCCTAGTGACCTACAAAATCTTAGAGAATTTCCAATTTGTCTGAGGGTCAAATCATAGGGTTTACATGAAGTCGGGCAAATCTATGAATTTTGGGGTAAAAGGTACAGGGTGACTAAAATGTAAGGTTTTTTTTGATTTTCTACAAAAAATTGCACGGATTTTCAAAATTTTTAGCCCTGAAAAACCTTAATTTTTCGATTTCGTCCAACTAACAGTCTCGTCAGAATCTAGTAAGTAAATTAATATCTTTATTCTGAATGTTAATTATGTTAGGTTGACTGTTGTTTCCATTGACAAATTAAAATTTATTCATCTTATGGACATATTCCAGAGCCCGTCCTCTCAATAAAGTGGTAGTGTAGTTCACGTACTTTGGGGGGACGATATCTTGGCCGCTAGATGTCCCATGTTAAATTCTTATCTGATAGATATTTCTCCGTACATCTGACGACCAATACAGGAGACGTCAAGTTGTCGACCAATGTAGTTTATGGAAGTAACGGCCTCACAAGTGTTCATCTAAGAATGTGTTCTAGAAGTACATGGTGACCCACAAAAAAAACTATGCAGTAGGGTTTTGAGTACTGAGGGATCAATTTTTGTCCATTTTAGGCGTCATTGCGAGAGCTTTAAATTTCAGTTATTTCTAGGTGTAATTTTTTCTGTTTTGTTACAACTTTATCTTTGAGTAGTTAACATTAATAAGTTGACATTTTGACTGGACAAAGTTCCTATGAATTATGTTGGTATAGCTTTCTTTTATTATTTTTGAAATGCTAATTTTATTTTAATATTTTGCTCTAGCTCAAAAAAAGCTTATCGCTGATCCACAATTTTAGCCTGTGACGAAAACTCATACAAATAGTTTTATTTTAAAATTATTACCAATATCTTTTTTTCATGAACAAATGAAAAACTTGATAACACTAAGCATCTCTGTATGACATACTCAAAGAGGTTATTGTAACTTTAAAAGTATGATGCATAACTGCATGAAATATAAAGCTTTCGAATGACAAGAAGCTGGAAGTTCTTGATAGGCCCGTATCTAGGTCATCTAGGGGGGGTGCACGTTCCCTCCTTTTTTACCCCCCCCCCCCCCCCGAAGGAAGGGGGAGGCACACTATCAGAGACAAAAATGAAAGAAAGAAGGAAAAAGGGAAGAAAATTGGCAAAAAATCTAATTTTTGTTACCAATAATATTATGTGTTGAGGATTTTTTCTCCAAATCAAAGAGAAATTGAGTGCTTTCTGAAATAAATTATTTGGTAATTTTTTATTATCTCCTGTTTACTGAAACGACAGGGTTTTAATTAATTTTTTTTGTATTTTGTTAAGCTTATCTTTTTCCCTTATCTTATTATACAGGGTGTCCCATATCAAATTAGACCGCGTCATTGGGTCTAAATTACGATTTGGGGGACAAATCAGAAAATTTAAGAAGAATGAATCATTACGAAAAATTTTTTAAGGCTAATAAAAAATTTCTTTTCCAGAAAATGCTAGATTTTTCGAGTATTATGTGCATATTTTGGCCTTAAAGATTGGAGATAATCTAATATTATATGGGACGCTCTGTAGATTAATGATTATAATGAACTATAGTACAGCAAAAAGTAACATGGAGACAAATTGAACTTAAATATAAGGTATGGCCAGGTTTAGGAGAAGCTGTTTGTACTCATCCTCAAGCTTGCAGGGGAGTTTTTTTCTAATTTTTTGTTAAAACTGAATATTTTTACGCTTGAGCTTTTCTTAATATTCATAGGCATTTACATCCTTCCCAGGAAATATTTTTACCGACTTTATGTGTCGATGGCGAAGTTGCCGGGTAAATAATTCTGGACTTTATATGATCGCCATCGGTTGGTCGGCCACATAATGTTTGCAGGGTTTATTTTCTCTGTATTAAAACAAGTATTGTCTTTTCGTGACTCTAAAATTTTAAGTAATATATTTATTTATAGTTTAACTCAAATCTGTACATTTTATACCTCCAGTTTTTTGGTTTTGATGCAAATTATAGCTTCTCAATAGCACTTACGGGAAAGAAAACATATTGCATAACAGGCAAAATATCTATCTTACTAAACTTAAATGTGTGATGAGTGTGAAAAGTTAAAATCTAGTTTATTATTCCCTTATTTTTATTTAGTCTTTCTTTCTTTTTGTTATAATGCAATCCCTTCTTAAATGTGAAATTTCTTTTTGAAGTTTTCATTTTAAATTCAGATATATCTTAAATTTGATAAATTACTCGAAAAAAGTACAAAGAGTCGAATTTTTTTTTTAAAAAAGAACCAAAGATCACATCATTATCTGGTTTTAAGCTTTCCGAAATGTGGTCTGCCTTCGTTCTATCTTATAAGTTGAAAATAAATGACAAGCTCCCATGGTTATTGGGATCATTGCAGGAACAGTCTTTAGAATGTTGATATAGTGCAAAAATCATCCTAACTTTAAATCTTATAACATTTTAATACAAAGGTCCATTAATTATTGTTTTTAGCTGAGACAAAGAGAACTCATCTAAATTCAGAGAATTTTATTTTATGAACAGCTTAACAGCGTAGCCCCTCCCTGAGATTTCGAGGCAAAAAATGTTCCCAAATTTATAAATCGTATGGGTTTTTCAATTTCAAGCTTTTTTTATTTAATGGAAATCTTGACTTTCTTTTCTTCAGTTTAATTTAAAAATCAACAACAACAAGTAAATGTTATTGTTAACGATAAATTTAGAATTAGAAATTTGTAAGAAACTAGACTTAAGTTATAATTTTGTTCATATCTAGTAATGTTCCTTAATCAATACTCATTTATCAAAATTGTAATATTGGTCCTAATTTTGATGCATTTAAGCATAACTAGTAAATTCTTTTTGTTTTTAAATTGCTAATGTTCCTATTATTGTTCCTGTTCCTAATACTGTGTCCGACCCACCTTAAATCCCTGTCCTAATCCTATATTTTTGTTCCTAATTCCTGAACAATCTTTTTATTGTTCCTAAATCCCTGTCCTAATCCATTATTTTTGTTCCTAATTCCTGAACAATCTTATTTTTGTTCCTAAATCCCTGTCCTAATCCTTTAATTTTGTTCCTAATTCCTGAACAATCTTTTAATTGTTCCTAAATTCCTGTCCTAATTATTTATTTTTGTTCCTATTTCCTGAACAATCTTTTAATTGTTCCTGTTCTAATCCGTTAATTTTGTTCCTTAAAGTTAAAAATCTAGTTTTTTAGTCTTTAGTCATTAATTTTGACTCTTTTTGAGTTTTTTAAGTCAAAAAAAATTTTCGCCTGCGCCGCGATTTTTTGTTCCTAATTATGAATTTTTTTGTTCCTAAAAAATCTTGCCCCCCCCCCCTCACTTAAATCCTGTATCCGCCCCTGTTTATGTGTACAATTGTACAGAGGTCATGGTTCAGATAAGATATAAAGCAATGTTAGGTCAGCCTTTGCCTAAAATTTGGTAACCCTCACTTGCGCACAAAAAGGAGAAAGCATGATGATGTATAGAAAAAATTAAATTTTCTCATAGTTTTGATGTTTTTTTTTTTACTTTTGAATGTTTTTTCTAAAAACTATTTTTTTTGGTGCGGATTTTTAGCCCATAAATGTAAGGATCTTAATCTAAAAATGTACGATTTTTTTTTCAAAAGTATGAAAAAGATGTCCCATTTTTCATTTTTTCTGTATATTAGTGTAGATGGAGCTGGGGCTATAGATAGATAATAAGGTAGGGGTCGCATGAGAGGAGGAAAGGTGGGCTCAATTACGTTTCTTATAATTACACTTCCTATATTTACACTTGTACTGTAAATACCTATAAAGTTCCATTTCCTAAAGTTACATCTATCTAATATATAAAGTTGTAATCTCTGCTGGTACTTTTGTTTGTATGTCCGATCACAACTCTGGAACTCCTGGACCGATTTGCCTCAAATTTTGATTGAGAAACTCACGAAACCGGAAACTAGTGGGCCGCAGGAGGAGCAGGCTGTGCCGTCCCGGCAGTTATTTAATAAACAATTTTTAATTGCAGAAAAGCAATGACTTCTCTTTCATTCTCTACAGCTTGACCGGTCACTTGTACTGTCTGTGCTCCTGGCTACTTTGTACTCTGTATACTGAAAACCGGTTTTGGTGGGTCAACATAATGCAGCGCACACTCCGCTTGGAACAGTGGAGGAAACAAGATCTCTCTCCAAATTATAAAATGGATCGCCAGGTTTGAATAAAATATAAATTTCTGTTATGTTTGATTTATGGAAAGGTATTTTAAGCCGTGTTACCTTGGGTACTTCATGGGTAAATAGAGTTTTTCTTCAGAGTTAAAGGGACCCATCAGACGTTTTTATTGTGCATATTTTTTCAGAATTAGTAAAAATTCTATTGGTGATTGAGAACGGCCGGGTAAATAATTCTGTACTTTATATGATCGCCATCGGTTGGTCGGCCACATAATGTTTGCAGGGTTTATTTTCTCTGTATTAAAACAAGTATTGTCTTTTCGTGACTCTAAAATTTTAAGTAATATATTTATTTATAGTNCTCAACCTAACCCTAAAATAACAAAAATAATAATAATTTTGCTGTAAATTAGTGGTCATGTACAAAATCGATAAGGGGGGGGGGGGGGTCCAAAAATCGGATACTAGGACTGACCCGTTCTATCTTTAAAATCCTTAGATTGTTTATTTTAGAGGGATGATTTTAAGAATAGTTTTTTAAGTATTTAAGTCCTAGGGTAAATTTGGACTACCCAGGGTAATAATTTGTTCAAGAAACCGCAGGAATATTCTACTTAGGGTTTAATCTCGACTAAATAAATCCACTCAAGGGTTTTAGAAATCTTGATGAAATTGGGCTTTTGTCTAATATATTGAAATACTAAAGGTCAACCTTAATTATCACACATTTAGTGTTTTATCAACGTAAATAGGAAAAGACTGGGACGGACATTGTGACGTCGAACGAGATTGAGACTGAAATGGGACGAGACTTGGACTCGGGTGCGCCTGGGGTAAGGACGAGATCTGCTCTTGCAGAGAAGGACGACAAGGAGAAAGTGTGGGTGGACGCGTTAGACTCAGGAACGGTTATTTATCAGCTTAAAATGAATATGCATTAAATTTTCTTAAATTTCTTTTTACAAATTTATGTTTTATTCTTTTTTTAAATTTAACAAATTGTAGACAACCGAAAACGCGAGCAAGCTCTTGAACATGAGCAGAACTGGCGCAATCTCGAAACCCTTGGGACTAGACTAAGCCGAACGTCTTCAGGGGGCGATTCCACCACGGAACTGAATATTCTCCGCCGTTTGAGTGCATCAGAGAACAACTGGCGTTTAAAGGATATCCCACAAGAGTCGGCCAACTGGAGAGCAAGTTTGCCACATGAGCGACCGCAAGCTAGTGAGTGGCAGACGACTGAGGGAACTGAGAGCTGGAGATCTAATAATGGAGGCAGGCATTTAAACAACACCACTTCCTGGAGGACTATAAATGACATTTCGGTAATTATACGACAAAAATATTTGTTTTAGAAGACGACTTTAGGATCCTTCGATTGTACGGGAAATTTGGTATATTTTGTTACATACCATATAAAAGGTGTAACTATTTTCTTCCCTCTCAAAATTGCGTTTTCAAAATGGTGCATCATTTTAATTTTTCCCGAAAACCTCAAAATATTGAGTTGACAATTTAAGTAGAAACCACCAGTTAATGTGCTTTTTTAGTTGAATTGTTAGTTCCAAAAATCCCCCCTTTAATGCTTTTAAAGGTATCAAAAGGTTTTAATGATGAATAATCTTAAAAATGAAATTGAAGGATTAAGAAGCTGTCTCCCTTTTTTTAGTTACGTCCTAAATTTTTTCCATGGAGGGACAAGTCCGAAATTTTGTAATGGATTCCTCCCCTGCCCCCCTTCCATTGGGTTTAATTGAGACTTAGACTAGTTCTATTCCATCCAAACGGCTTTTATTCAAGAGTTTATTAAATTTATGAAATCTTAGACTAACTATTTGTATGTACCTTTAATTTGAGTCATCTATATATATACTTTGCTTCTCTGTTTGTTTTTCAAAACGGATGAACTGATCGGGCCCAAATTTTGTGCGGGACTTGACATGAAGGTTTAGGCACTCAAAAATTATCCTCCAGCAAAATTCTATTGTCATTAAATTTTTAAAATCCACGAAATTTTTTTTTCTTACAGTTCATTTTTTTGTTAACAATTGAATAGAAGACTGTATAAGTCTTAAGAAATTTGTCAACTTGTGATAAAATTACTAGTTCTTTATATTCGTCTATCAGATATATCTGAAATGCAATAAACCATTGAACAACTAAATAAAAAATGTTGTATATTAAATTGAATTTTCTTAAGTCAGATTTTAAGATATTTTGAGATCTGGATCTTTTTTTGCTTACCATTTGATTTTTTTAGAAGACTGGAACAGGATCCTCGTTAACAGATGAGAACTGGCGACAAAATCAGGAAGTGTTGAGACAGAATCAGGATAACTGGAAATTTAATCAAGAAAGTGTCCGTCACTTACAGGACGGATTGCGTTTAAATCAGGACAACTGGCGTCGCAACCATGACGGAATGCGTCCGAACGGACCGGAGCTTTGGCGTCAAGAAAACTGGAAACAGAATGGGACCGAGAGGGCGAATAATGTCAATATGATGTTTGGCGGAATTAATGTCGACGGCGGAACGGGAAACTCTTGGAACTCTGGAGGAGGCGGAGCAGCCTGGCACAATCCGCACACTGTGGACGGAGGAGCTTGGAAAAGGAACCTGGAAGAGAACTCAAGATTATCAAACGATCTTTTCAGGTTAACTTATTATTCATTTGTGTAATATGGATATGTCCGGTTCACTTATTTTTTATCTTTATTTTAATCTATATAAATTGTTTTTATCTGAATTTTAATCATTGTTTCTCACATGCCGCAGATTCTTAACAAGAACTACAATTAAAAATCGTTTATTTATTGTAAGCAACGTGGATATCTAATTCATACATGATCAAACTGTAGTTAGGGTATCGTTGTGAATCAGACTTCTCAGTCTTTACATGCAATACGACTAAAGCCACTTAATGGTTTCATTTATTTGTGTACCGGGATTAAGATTTCGATCCCTTGAAAAAGTAGATTAGTAAATCTTTTTAGATCTTCGAAGATTTTTTGACTCAAATTGTTAAACAAAAGCAAGAATATCTAATTCATACTTGGCTTAAGTAAGATTTACAGGATACCGTTGTATATTGTGCACTGCTCGCTTTACACAGAGGGTGGAACGTTTTGATTTTAGAACAGTCGCCTAAAATATTTCGTTGACAATCCCTTTAAATACCGTCAGGTTGAAGAATCCCTATCTGCGAGATGATTGTGGATCCAGGGATGGTGCTTCAGGTATAAATAATTTGTAAAATAGTTTGAAGGAATGGAGGCGGCCCCCCACACACCTTCAAAAAATTGCACGTTTTATTTCTTTGACAATTTAGTTGTTCTCTGAGGTGATGACCATCATAATTTAAAAATCTTGCTGTAAACCTAGGAATAGGCAAAAACGAAATGAATAATTTAGAAAACTAAAAAAATAGCGAGAGAAACGATTTTTAAGTTAAACTATTCAAAAAAAACGATAGTTATAAAATTACGATGCAATACGTCGATTACAAATTTTGTTCTAGCTTTGTCGCGTGAATCATCACGGGACGACATCAACTCCATCAGCGACCAACAGTTCGACTTCGAGGAGAGGTTTAAGGTGGACAGGAGGAAGCTTGAGCTTATGATGATGGGTAGCGGAGGTAAAGATAAAATCTGTTTTTTATTTTATTACATTGAATTTTTATTTTTATTTTGACCTTTCGTAAAACCTGGGTCAATGTTTTTTGAATTTTCGTGAATAAATTTCATAATCCCCCCTCCCACACAATCATTTTTTATGATAATTTAATGTAACTTTAAATCATATGTAATTAAAAGGATGTAATTATATGAAGTATAATTTTAAATGAAATGTAACTTAGCCTGGTCTTATCTTCAGGTTGAAGATCGGAGCTAAGAGCAAGAAGGATCCTCATATTCGTGTAGGAGGTGGGCAGGAGGACGGGGTTAAAGCTGCCAAGGCTAGGATTACTGAGGTCCTGGATACTAGGGTTAACAGGTGGACAGAATTATTATTTTTCGCAGGTCTCAACTTCAGCATGTATTTTTGGTTCATCTCGGATTCTTTCAGTTTTCATTTAATCTGACGATTTTTTAGTAAAGATTTTAATTGCGATGTCCCGATGAATTAGTTATTTTAAGATAAATAGAGTTATTTTGTAACCGATGTTGCAAACAGTTTGGAATATCAAAGGTTTTCACCATTAGGTTGCCAAGATATTTAGATTATGAAATTGGAGTATTTTCCTTGTTCTGAAAAATATCCTTTGTTAGATGAAAATTTGGAATCATGATAAATTCCATTCCCTTTTATGGATCNCAAAACCCCCCCCCCCCACTTAAAGTTTAAATGTTTTAAGTAAAACAAATAAAAATATCATTAAAAGTTTTTAATTTTTCAATTATAATGTTAAATTTTTAATTTGATAATAGTTATGTTAATATTACAGTCGTGTGACCATGAAGATGGATGTGAGCTATACTGACCACTCACATATTATTGGGAAGGGAGGCAACACTATTCGCAGGCACAATCATGCTTTAATTACTTTTTTTCTGTTAAATTATTTTTTTAAATTATCAATCTTGTTTTGATTAAACTATTTGTTCACTTTAATTTGAAAAAAACACTTGACGCGTAAATGTTTAAAGTTTGATCACAACTTTACCTAGCACACCTATAGCTTACAACTCAATGATAATACTTAGATCAATAATATTTATAGATGTTCATTCCAGCTTCTTATTATTTCAATCACTTTAGTTACCGAACGCTCTTCAAATGCTTTTCATGCAATAAAATTGTAGACTCGTATAGTGCAAAAGAAATTTGACAAATGAGTTGTACAAAAATTCTGAGGGATGAAGAGAAGAGTTAACTCAGCTTATCTCATCGCTAAAAACGTTTGTGCAAGGCCAAGCTTTTTTGGGGTTCTATTTATTGGTCACGGTTTTTAAATGACTTGTCCGTTTTAAGCTCTTTAATTAAAGTAAAGCATACTTGCAATAGAGTTATGTCTGATACTAACTGCCACATTCACTTCCCGGACAGCAACAGGCAAGTTTTTTTAATGGTAGTTTTTCAACGTGGCATTTAATTGCTTTAGCTTGTGATTAAAGGGACTGTAAAGGAATAATGAAATGGGATATTGGCTGAAAGCTAATCACTTGAGCTCTTGATCGTGACCCATGGAAGTTATATCTGATGTTCCTATCTCGAGAAATTGATTTTCAACTTTGTCAAATTTATACGAAATTTAATATATATGCAATTTTGTATTAAAGTAGTGGGTTTAAAAAGATCAAATTCAGCGAATATGCAACCAATCTGAAAGCGAGGTTATACCAGAGAAAGCTAATTGTAACTTAGGTTTACTCCAATTCTAATTTTACTTTTGTTATTTTTATTTTTTTAGATTTAATTCATAATTTTATTTATACATTTGTATTACTTGACCAGAAATTCCACCAATGGCAGTGCAGTAAAGGGTCACGTGATACAGGCGGAGACACGTGACCAGTATACTGCTCTGCCATTGGTGATAATTCTGGTCACGTGATTTAAGTTTAAGATTTTCTACATTTTACATATATGAATTTTCGTATAATTTTAACACAGTTTTATATCAATATCTCGAGATAGGAACATCAGATAAAACTTTCATGGGTCGCGATCAAGAGCTAAAGTGATTAGCTTTCAGCCTATACCCCCTTACATTTTTCCTTCACAGTCCCTTTAAGAAAGAATAACAGGATTGTAAAAATATTACAATCATATTCTTACTCATCTTGGATGAAATATGTTGATTGTTAAGTGTGACATACATGCATAAAATTTCGTTCACTTGAAAGGTTGTTATCTTACTCAAGGTTGTATAATAAGGTTTGTTACTATCGATGCGTTCCTACGCACGGAAAATGTCGTCTCCTAAGCATGGATAGATAAAAACCTCTAATGACGTCACTCCTGCCCCTATAATCAGCGACGTCATTTGATGTTTTTATCTAGCTAAGGAGGCGACATTTTCCGTAACCAACCTTATCATACAACCTTGGTCTTACTCTTCCTAAATGGGGAAATTTGCGGGCTGTTTTTAGAAGCTTAGAGTGAAAAACACTTCGAGTAATCATTGATGTAGGATCAGCAGTTTATGGATTATTGAACTGAGTATCGACTTTCTTGATCTTAAAACTTTGGAAACGGCAACAGTGAAGCTGAGCTTTCATGTTTGTAATAGTGTGACATACATACATAAAGTTAAGTTCTCATAATAGTATAATTTTAGGAGCAATCCCAACGAGAAGTCTAATCAGGTTTCTATTGCTGGTGAGATGGCTGGGGTTGAGAGAGCTAGAGCTCGTGTTCGTGAACTCACTCCTCTCATTTTCCAGTTTGATCTCGCAATAGTTCCCAGCTTTCATTCTATTCCGGATCCTAACAACCAATACCTCAGGTAGTCCAGTGGTTCAATCTTAATTTATGGGATTCTGAAAACTATTCTTCAGTTCAAGTAGTCCCTCTTAATTTTTGGGGATTCTTGGTTATTTTTTTGTTTATTTGGTGAATTAATCTCCAGACCCCAATTAGGATCATTAAAAAAAAATAATTGTACAGACGAACTGTTATGCTTATAAGTATACTCCCTAAAGTTCACAGTTAATTCTGAATATTTTAAATGCTCTTATGTATTACACTAAGTTGATTTTGAGATGAAAAATTTATTTTGTTTTAAGGGCAATACGTTGATTTTGAGATGGAATTTTGACATTTTATAAACAAACTTTAGTTTTGCCTTGTAAATTAAAAATTTGGGGGTCAAAACTTAGCAAGAGGATTAGATACCCATTTCGTTTTATTCATTTAATTAATTCTTTGAACCCAATGCAAATAACTTATTTTTGCATTTTTGTTGTATTCTAATTCATTTAGGGCAATCCAGGATCAGTACAATATCCAGATTTCCTTTAGACAAAAGCAGAAGAATTTCCACACCACAACCGTGGTCATAAAGGTAGATTAATTTCCTCTTGACACTCAAATTAAAGCTCTGAAGACATTTGCTTCAAGCCATTTTAGTTACTGTAACTGACTGACTGAAAATGTTATCAAGAGGGTAGACATATGGTCAAACATGGAATCTTTTTTGGCTGAATCTTAAGCTGTCCTTATCGTACCAGAAGAAATAAGAGGTTTTGGAGACAGTTTTACGTGCATACAAATGTTATATGTTCTATCTTCATCTCTTCTTTATGTCGGATTAGTCAATATTCCAAAATGTTCTGAATTGAAGGGTTGTGAGTTAGAAGCCAGCAGGGTTAAAGAGGCAACGCTGCTTCTTATGGACCAGCTCTCTCCAAACAATCCGGCAAGGTATAAAGCATAAATCTCAGGGTTTTAAATTTACTTGAAAAAAAATTGGTTTTAACTTCCGGAAATTATTTTTTCCTCAGTAGTTTTTTTTAACTTGTCATGCTTTACTTAGATCTTGGTTTTGAGAGCAAAAAGTTTTTTTTACAGTTTTTGGTCAATATTTTGCCCCCTGATCCGGATCCAAGAAGCAAAACTGTTGCGGATCCAAAGTGATCCGGATTCCAAGCACTGAAAGTAACTAATAATTTTGAAATAATGAGCATGAAAGAAGTCAGAAAAATATATAAGCGAACCATTTTCATTGGGAAAATAAAATTTTGCTAATTCTTTTAAATATTATTTTTACTTGTATTGTAGTGTATCCGTAAATATGACTATGGAGATATCCCCTGGCCATCACAATGTTGTTGTCGGGAAGGAGAGCATCAATCTCAGGTAAATCATCACCTCACATGAAGTGTAGAGCATTAGCTCCATAGACTCCACAAAAACGTGACGTTCTACACGTTAGGTGTATTCACCACTACCACGCGAGCGTTTCAATATCACTAATTGTTTTATTCTTTTTTATGCTACATGGTACTTTTTATTTTCAGGTTTTAAATTCCATAACTGTAGTTTGAGAGTTTATTCAGTTTTTATGTTATTTTTTTACCATTGCAGTTAGCGTCCCCAAGTTTTGTGACTTTTCTTACACAGGTTGTAACCTGACTGCCTAGACACCTCCATTGGCGCGATTTTATCGATTTCTATTCAGGCAGTACCTAGGCTGTCAGGAAGTTAGGGCTTTGTTTTTTTTGCTACTTGTCTTATGACTGTTTCAGAAAAAAATCGTGGACCAAGCCATTTACGATTATAAAAAGGTTGTAAAAAAATTAACGAGTAAAAAAACTGAAAAAGCTAAAGTTACATTTAACACTTGAAAATGCACTTGATTTTTGGGATTTCTTAAAAATGAATTCTCAAATGGCTTCACAGGGATTTCTCATTTTTATAAATGGGATTCACCTTAAAGAGGCTTAATTTTGTTGACAGGAAGCTATACAAATTGGTTTTTTATATAAAGTTGTTATATCTGTTGTCTGTTTGTTTGTATGTCCGATCATAACTCATGAATCCCTCGACCGATTTGCCTCAAATTTCGACTTTTATAGGAAAAACTAGCTTAAATCGTTATTTACGACCTAGTGCGGGTAAACGGAGGGATTACCTATCAGTTGGTCGTACCTTGGGAAACGCTAGTTTTTATATAACATTTCTTATTTAAGGGTGATTATGCAGCGCACTAATACTACCATCATATTCCCAGATGCTGGAGATCCAAATATACCTCCAATAAGGTCAGTATTCTGATTACTTTATTGACTATGGTTATTTCTAGTGACCCCCGATTTACAGGTAAGCATCTCTGATTCACAACGGTACCCTTAATAGCTTTGTCTACTTTAAAGTTAATGTGAAATCCATGATTTTTCTTGAATTTTTTCTATTGTGCTTGCGGATTTCTTGCTCCAGAAGCATTGGTAAAAGTTGTTTTATCTAACCCCTTTTTAAGCTAAAACCCCGTTTATTTCTTCCATGTAGTTAATCATAAATTTTAGAGGATTGTAAATCGAATATTATTTATATGGGGACTTTTAAATTACATACAGTTCCTTAAGCTTAAATTACGGCTACTGCTCGTCAAACAATATCCAAATATCTTAGATCTTTCCTGCTGCTCGGATTTCTAAAAACTGGTCCATATTGTGCAGTAATCCAAAGTTTCAAAACCGGTTTTTCTTCACTACGAGCAATATTTGTAAATTTAAATGTTAGTGCAAATGTAAAGCAATGTAAAATTTTATCACATGTTTTATGTTTTACTGTCAAAAGACGTTGTTTATGAACAGATGGTATACATTTGATCCTACCGACGACTTACGAAATACCACTGACATCGCCGGCTCTTCAGCCTATTAGAATATGAATTCCTACATAAGTTACATAAGTTATTAATAAATTTCTGTCTAGGAAGGGCAGCGTCACAATCTCTGGCGCTATCCACAATGTTTACCTGGCTCGGCAGCTTCTTCTGGGATCTCTTCCAATTGTTATGATGTTTGATCTGCCAGAGAATATTGAGATCCATGAGTCTATGGTACAGAAACTTCAGGTAATGTTTAAGATCTTTAACATTGCAGGGACATTTTTAGGATTTATTTTAGAGGGTGGGAAAGGGCTCTAGTTTTTTAACTTTAAATAAAAAATGGAGCATTTGACAAAAATCCCGTGATTTCCCTGATATTCTGCTTTGACGGGATTTTTTTTTTAATACACGAGTGTCCCCAGGGACAACAGATTATAACTTCTTCCTGGTTGGGAGAAATGAATTTATAAAATATGGGAGGAAATATTATCCCTTGAATCTGATAATTTGATAAGGCCGTGGGGGTAAGTTTTAAAATCATGTGTCGATACTGTTCTTATAAGGCGGTAAAAATACTTATTACTAAACTAAAGATTTTTTATGTTAATTTAGAATATTTGTATCCTAGGAAGCAAATGAGGTGACCATCACAATTAAACCTAAAGCTCGTCAAACGAACAAGTCTGTAATTATCAAGTCCCAGGAAAGGAATGTGGGAGGCATGTACGTTGCCAGGTACAACTTTTGTTTTTATTTTAATTTAGTTTATATATTTTTCACAATCCCATCAATTGCGCTAATTTTCTGGAGTTTCTAAATAAACATGCAAGTGTCTTTGTAATGCAATTGACTTAAAATTGTAGAATTATATCCCCTAGCCACAGCACTTAGCCCCATCTTGGCACAACTAAACCTTTAATGAATTTTAAGTTCTAATTCATTTGACTCTGATATAAGTATACCTTGTTTTATTTAGTGCTTACCCCTGCACGGTCCTTCTGTCATTGTAACAATTATAGTTTTAAGCAGTCATACTAACATGTTCTGGTAATTTCCCATTTAAAAAGAAATATTTTTTATCAGCTTTGCCCATGGCAAATAAGAAGAGTATTCTTATGAACACGATCATCTATAATATAAAGCTCTTTGCTCATATATTGCCGCAAGGCACGACACGTGATGAATAGTAAAATCCTGAAATATGTTTATGCTTTAATTTGAAGCTGATACTTCAAATATATTTGTATGTATATATATGTATTAAATTTTTTGAGGGAACCCATGAGGTGCCCACGGGGTAAAAAAGTTCCTTTTTTCTAAATTCTAATTTAAATGTTTATAAAAAATATACCTGGAAACCCTGATTGCGCAGTGTTTGTTATTTTTAAGCTCTGTGAACTTTTGTGAATTTACGGGAAATCCATGCTAGGATCTTCCTGTTTTTTTGGTCAGTAAGATAATGAATATATCTCTGACAGGTTTTTGACTCAAAATAGTTACTTAGTCATAAAGAAATAGACAAATAAGTGCTACACTTTTTCAACAGTGTACACAGTGACCCCTACGCTAGGAGAACCAGGGTGACCAGACTGCTTGTTGTTTTCTGGACCCAACAATGTCTGAGGGAGGAGGAGAAAAGGGAGATAATCCATGGAAATCGATAGAAATCAGAAATGGTTTACCAACTATTATTTGTTCCTGGATGCTGGCAGCAAGCGCTGATAGGATAAGAGAGATACTTTTAAGATCTGTTAAGATGGAAGAATTTGAAGCTGCTAAAGAAGCTATTAAAGCTAGTATACCTATCTTGGAGCTAACTGAGGTTTTCCCCTGGGCAAGCAAGGATTTCTACACCAAGAGAAGATCTGCTGAGAAGAATATTGAAGATATTATGGAGTTTTTACAAGTCCTCGATGAGAAAAATAGAATTCCTCTGTTCCTTGCAGCTTCAAATGAGTTGGTAAAGTTCAATAAGATAGTCCTGCTGGATACTGAACCACAAGTTGTTGGTCCTCGTCTAGTCAGACTTGAAGAGAGGATGGATCAGATATATTCTATTCTCCAGGGTAACCTGCAAACAAGGGATGATGTTCAAATTCTTCCAACTCTAAATGGAATTAACAACAAGGTTGATGCATTCCTTAGAGAGCAGCGTTCTTATGCTGCTGCTGCATCCAAAGGTACAGAAACATCTATCCCTCAGCGTGCTGCTTCCTTTAAAAGAGGTCTACCCAACCAGAAAGAAGCTCCTTCCAAGAGGAGAAGGACAGAGACTGGAAGTGTTTCTGAAACTGCTGTAGACTCAGGTGCATCCTTTGTAGCTACAGGAGCTGATGATGATGTTTTCCAGATCGTGCAGAAAAAAGAGAAGAAGAAAAAGCCGCAAAGTGCATCTGGAAAGCTACAAAACAGGAAGATGAAGCCAGTTATTTGGGGAAAAGCTGAAGTTCAATCTGAAGCAGCAATGGCAGCACCTTATGACATATATGTATGTAATACTCATCATACTACTACAGAAGAAGGGATTAGAAAAACTTTACAAGATAATACATCTGATGATGCAGGATCTGGTGTACAAGCTCTAGAAGTTGTTTGCCAATCTAAAGAAGGAATGTTTAAAAAGAGTTGGAGAATCAGAATAAATTTTGCTGACAAAGATAGAGCTCTTAAACCTGAAACATGGCCTAAAGGATGGGGAGTAAGAAAGTTCTTTTATCCAAGAAAGAAGCTGCTATCAGCTGCTAAATCTATCTCCCACCCAACTCCGGGTGGGATCAGCGAGTAGGTTGCTATTTGTGAGAATGATACAACATTTATCAGCTACAATTCTACAGGGTTTGCTGCTGACAAAGTAAACTGGTTGAACAGTTTAATTGAAATGACCTGTACTGACTTTGTGTCTATACAAGAACATTTTCAATCACAAGTGACCACTGGAAGGAAGACGACTGAAAATTCATCCAGGATTTTTGATGAGAGTTTCAGAAGTTTTAAAAATTTTGTTGTTCCAGCCTACAGACAACCAGGACAAGTTCGTGGAAGGGCTGCTGGTGGACTAGCTCAGCTTTCAAATTCAACCAACGATGTTAAATTACAAAGAGTGAATAGTGACAGCAGGAGAATACAGGCTCAGATCATACATTTTCCAAACTTTAAATTGTTGTGGGGAAATGTTATTTCCCAACAGATCCGGGAGCAGGACATTTTGAAGATGCAGAGCTTCACACAGTTCTACAGGAAATGGAAACAGTAATGGAAAAAGAAGATTTTGATCATGTTCTTTGGAATGGTGATTTCAACTGCGATTTTAGCAGAAATACCACTTTTGTGGGAATAGTTAGGGATTTTTTGCATAAAATTGGACTTCTAGCAGTGTGGGAGGATAGTCAAAATGCTGTGAACTACACTCATATACATGTGGATCTACAATCTACATCAACACTGGACCATTTTATTTGCAATGAAAGTCTTCTTCCATACATCATTGATGCCGGAGTTTTACATCTTGGTGATAATTTGAGCAGACACTCTCCTATCATGCTAAGACTAAATACAGGAAATATTCCAATGAAACCTGTCCCTGTAGAAATACCTAGACCTCGTAAACCTGCCTGGTATAAAGCTACAGAAGAGCATCTAGAACGGTACAAATTTTTACTACATGAGAAGATTATGAATATTGAGCAACCAAATTCAATCTACTGTAACAATGCAGCTTGCACTAATGATCTGCATAAATTGGAACGAGATTCACATTGTATAGACATTTTAGCAGCTATTTGTGAATCTGGACAGGAATGTATACCGCTTACTTGTCCACAAAACAAGACCCAAGGAGATATAATAGATAAAAATATTCCAGGATGGAAATAACATGTTGAATTATACAGGAATAGTTCTGTTTTTTGGCATTCTGTCTGGATGAGTGCAGGCAGACCAGTTAATTGTGAGCTTCACAATGTAATGAAACGATCTAAAAACCAGTATCACTACTCAGTAAGAAGAGTTAAGAATCTGGCTGATACTATAAGATCCAGCAAACTTTCTGATGCTGCTCTTTTGGGAAATAAGCAGCTTCTTCAAGAGATGAAAAAAGTCAAATCTGCTCACCAAAAAGCAGCTCCAGACCATGTGGATGCAGCTTCTGGAATAAACATACCAAATATATTTGCAGACGTCTACAGTGATCTGTTCAACTCTGCTGATGATAAAGAAGATATTCTTTCTCTCAAGCAAAGATTACAAGGAACAGTTGATGTAAATGATTTGTCAGTGATCACTCCAAATATTGTGAAAACTGCTGCAAAAAGTCTGAAATCTAACAAGAATGATGTATCTGAACAATTTAAATCTGATTCACTGATTTATGCTCCTGATATCCTTTTTGAACGGCTAGCTGACCTGTTTAAAGCATTTTTTACACATGCAGACTTTCCTGAAGAAATATTGGCATGTGCTTTTATTCCCTTGCTAAAATGACCCCTGAAGGATGATACAAGCTCTGAAAATTATCGTGCCATTGCTATGTCCTCCCTGATCTTCAAAGTCATGGAACTTGTGATTATGTCACTTTTTGGTGACAAACTTTACTCAGATAATCTTCAGTTTGGATATAAATCTAAAACTTCCACCACTCAGTGTACCTGGCTGGCTCTGCAGACAGTTTCTTTCTTCAAGCAGAAACATACATCTGTCAATGTTGCTGCGCTGGACTGTAGCAAAGCTTTTGATGAGTGTTTATTTTCTAAACTATTTGGTAAAATCCTTGACAGAGGGGTTCCAGCTATCTTTGTTCGAGGTTTATTAGCTGCTTATGAGCTTCAAAAAGCATGTGTTAAATGGTCAGCTACACAAACAGCTTCCTACTCCTTTGGTATACTAAATGGTACACGACAGGGATCCTGTCTATCCCCAATCCTATTTACAGTGTTCATGGATGGGTTGCTTGTAAAGCTTCTAGAGAAAGTGGGTTTGGCTGCTATATTGGGGATCTCTTCCTTGGTGTTGTGGCCTACTGTGATATTCTGCTGCTGTCTCCTACCAGAAATGGTTTACAAAACCTATTCAACTTTGTGAAAAGTATGCTGAGGAGCATAATATTTCCTTTTCAACAAATCCAGATCCATCCAAATGTATTTATTTTCCTTGTGGACGTGACAGAAAACCGGTGGGGGTCGTCCTTATTCATCAGAAGCTGCCCTGGGTCAGTCAGGTTGACCATCTTGGTCATATCATTCATGGATCAGGTTCACAAGATATAGACTGCAAAAAGGCTAGAGGTGCTTACATTGGATCATCTACTGAATTATTGGGAATTTTTCATTTCTGCTCACCACTGCAAAAGTTATCTGCTGTGCAAACTTATTGTTGTTCCTTTTATGGAAGCAATATTTGGAACCTTTACAGTGAATATGCCTGTCAAACCTACCGAACACTACAGTTAAAGTTTGTTGGAACTTGCCACAGCCTACACATACATTTTTAGTTAAGAATTTTTCTTAAGAATTCAACTCTGTGAGAGTTCTTTTACTGAGACGATTTGCCAAGTTTGCACAGTCTATTTTGCATAGTTGGAATTCATTGATTTGGCAAGTTGGATCGATATCTGCATATTCTCTACAGTACGACTTTGGAAGAAACATTTCAAATATCTCTGACGAATTCTCTCTAGATATATTAAACAGCCTACCAAGAGCCATCTTTGAAGAATGTGGGCCGCTCACCATTCAAGAAGAAGACAATATCGAATGTCTGCAGCATCTCCTGTTACAGCTCCGGTACTGTGAAGAAGACGACATTAGAGAAGAATTAAAGTCGTTAGTTGAAAACCTATGTATACATTGAATTATAGTTCTAATCTAATATCTGAACCAATTTTATGTGTTCGACAAATAAATCATAAAAAAAAAAATTCACCGGGCAACGCTGGGCGCTTCAGCTAGAATTTAAAAAAGAGCTGTTTTTTTCTACAACTTATCAACTATTTGATAAAAATGACTTTGTTGTTAGGCATAAGCTGCTTGATCTGGAGGGAGAGGAGGTGAAAGCTGATGTTCCAGAAACCTACAAGGTTAGTTTTTACATCGTGTAATTAGGGATATACAGGGTTACCCACAAAGGATGAGACTTCAGAGACTGTTGTTCAGAATATTTTTATAGTTCCCTACAGCTGTTATCCGTTTTTTTTCTTTGCCAATCTTTTAACCATACAATAGAAAGACTTAATTTAAAGGGAGTGACCGGCAATGTATGGTGGTTGAGCTGAATATGTAGTGTTTGTGGACAATTTTTTAGGATTCTTTTGAGATATTTAAAACGTTCCCACGATGTATGATTACTGAGTCGACGTTCAAAATCATGAATTTGGGTGTGAATGTTTTCAGAATCGTATTTTATTATTAAATTTTATTTTTAAATTACGTCGACAAAAAATGTGAACAAAATTCTTCAGTAAACTAATTAGTTGTTTAAGAACAGGTTGGGAAAATAAAAATTGATCTTATCATCGAAAATAAGTAATTAATCTTATTCAATTACCAGAGCTGAAAACTTTGAATGGTGGATATTGAGATTAATGCTTGATCCTCTCTTTTTCTTAATATCGAGACTAACTTAATCTTTTACTGTATCCTGAAAAGTGTATAAAATCCAACCAATCAGAGTCGAGTTTACGAAGCCGATAAATTTGAAATTTTGAGCGCCATTTAAGATTAATATACAGAAACGGGAGGGACTTTCTAATTTTAAAAAACCTGTTTTTCATTTTTCTCTACTATATCCAAGAAAGAACGATTTAAGAAGAAAATCAAGTCTGCCCATTGGATACTCAGATTAAGTAATTGGGATTAAGGATATCTCATTCTTAAGTTTTCAGCTCAGTTTCTATAATTTCTCATTATTTACAAAGATTTTTTGCAGATTTTCTGGAATTTTTATTGAAAAGATGGCACTTGAAGTATTTGTAGAGATCTGCGAAAAAATTCATAAAAAATAAGACATTCAATATAATGATATACGAAACAACTGAATTTAACTCTGATTTATTGACAAATTTCTTAATATGTTCCTTAACATCGTATTAGTTTACTCTATTTTTGTCGTCATTATTTAATAATTTAAAAAAAAACTATTCTTGAACATACTCAACCAAGTTCATGATTATGAACGTTGTCTTTGGGCTCAAACTCGGTAGTTAGTAATTATTCATCGTGGAAACGTTTTTAAATGTCACAAAAATTTCTACGATACTGCATACTCAGTTTAACCACCATACATTGCCGGTCCCTCCCTTTAAGGCAAACTTCAAGTTCTACCTTCACATCGATAGATTTAAAAGCTTCAGATGGGATAAAGTGTCTCTGTATCCAGATTGGGCGTCTCTAATGTGAGTTATGATTAAGGAAATGTTTTCGAAGAAGGAAAGGGGTAAGAGATTGAACAGAAAATTTTGATTCGATCTCATAGTTTTAAATAATCTCTTTCGTCGTTTTTAACCAAGATTCATGGCAGTGTGAAAAAAGTTATTTTTAACTGAGGTATATTTTTTCCTCAATTACTTCCCACTTGCCATTTATTCACTTCCATATCATCCTTTTTTTCCCATTACATTCCCCTTCTCTTAGTCTCCACTTCTCCCCTCCTTACCTTTAAAGGAAGTGTTCGTGTAAAACGAAAGGGGGTATATGCTGATTTGAATTGAGTTTAGATTCTCCCTTTCCTGATTTTTCTTTCCGATAAAATCAGTGTTATATTTTCATATCTCTATTTCTTGCATTTAGAGATTTACTTGGCACGTTTGAGACTAGCTCAAAATGTTTGGGTAAAAATCATAACATCAGAGTTGATCTAAATACATAATTAATATTAACTTTAAATAGGTTCCCCTGGTTGGATCTAGCTCAATGTTCCATCTTGCTTCTCTCCCTGCCAATAGAGGACCCTTCCTCTGCGCTACACCTCAGCTTCAGGCCCTCAGCTCTCCTCTCTCACCTAACTTCATCCATCCCTCCTGCTACACCCCGGTTACCCCCAACTTCCCCCCGGTGTCCCCCTGGCAGTTTCCTACCAACAATTTACCACCTGTAACCCCTGATATGGGGAAAGTTGCGCCTACCTTTCCTTCTCTACAGGTTTAATTTTAAAATATTACTTTTAAGGATTGACTTTCAGTTGAAGCGGCATATCTATTTCACAACTGTACCTGTCAAAGCTTCTATGATGACGAGATATCCTCTTTTTAAAGCTGAAAAATGAGTATTGGGAATCTTCGAGTGTTATACACTATTGTTCTTTCTTCTTTCTTTTTTCAGACATAAATAAAGAAATGTATATGTAACCCTTGTTGATACACAGGGTACTGTTATGATTTATACATGCTACTCCATAGCTCATTAAATTATTTGAGTTACTACATTTTTGACGCTTTTTTAGTTTTGAATAAATTTGTTAGGAGTACATGATGATAATGGGATTGAAGCAGCAGCAGCAACAGCAGCAACAGCTTCTCCATCAGCAGCAGTTGCATCAACAGCAGCTGCTTGAGAAAGAGCAGCTGGAGCTAGAGAAAAAGCAAAGATCAGCTTGGACTTCACCACCACAGCGCAGCAATAGGTTAGCTGCAGTTTTTAACATTCTCTTCATTCTGGGATCCCCACAAATGAGTTTTTAAAAGTCGGTGTAGCTTAATATTTTGATAACAGATTTTCTCCCAATTGTCACATCCAGGGGGGTAGCTATGACCCCCCCTGGATCAGTGAAATCTGTTATTTTCCTAAAATTAATTAATTGGACACTAATGACCTCTAATGACCTCTAATGAACTTTAATGACCTTTACAAAAAGAAAATGTTTCAACTATGGCTTCATGCATATCAAACGAAAGCTAGGAACCCAGGCAATACAGTAGCAGCAATTCAGTGTTATAACTTCTAATGACCTCCTACGAACTATAACGACCTCTAATGACCACCAAATTGAAAATAATGGTTTTCTGTACATCAAACGAAAGCTAGGAACCCTGCCAATACAGCAGTTACAACGAATTCAGTGTTTGACCTTCTAATGACCTATAATATATATTCATAATTTATATTTGTCTAAAGCAAAATTACATTAAACAATATAAAAGTTTACAAACTAATACTCTTTTCTCTGGATATCGCACTTTATAATCGACAGGGTTTGCCAAAAAAAAACAGGTGCAATACAAGACTTTTAGCATGAGTATAGTTTAGCTATTCAGAGGTGGTTTTCAGAAAAGGGGTTTCTTGGTCCCAGTCTAGTGTTTTTCGTTTTCTAAAAATGTGGTAAGATGACAGTACAGCAAGGCTTGAAAGATTTTCACACATTGCTTTGAAACTAACACTAGGTTTGCAGAACTTATGCAGTTTCTTTAGAATCGCCTTATTTGATGGTGAGATATATCCTCTTGAGCCGATTTCAAAAGGATGAACAGACACATCCCTAGTTGTTANGCTTCGTCGATACCACATACTGAAGGTGACCATTTTGAATATTTGACGTTAAATTCGTTTTCCACGTAGTATAATAAATGATCAAACAATTTATCAAGTATTTGTTGTACTACTTTAATCGGGTCTTTCATTGAGCTCTTTATTCCTCTGGAAGTGAGACTGCTCACGTTTGCATAGTTAATTTCTTTTAATTTAAGGATTTTTGGTTGAAGTCTAAGAACTCCTATTTCTGGTCTTTTTTCCTCCCATTTGAAATTGGATTTTGTTATTATTTTTGAAAGTTCTGTGGGTAAGTTTAACTCTGCTTGCTTTATAAAATCCAATATATTACGAATATACCAATCTTCTTTGATGTCAACTTTCCCGAAATGTTGTTGCTCATTAATCTTGTTGTATTGTTTTTTTAGATCTTCAATAAACATACATACATATCCAACGTTTTTGTCCCCTTCAATTATTATCTTGTCATTATCTATATTAAATGCGGTTTCATAAAAATTCTCTGGGGGCAAATTCATTGTTTTTTTCCAGTTTTGTTTCATATATTTTCTAAACATGTTTGATCCCTTTTTATAAGCTTTAATAGCAGTGTTTATGAACTGCTTGAAGATAATTGATTGATTAGCATTTAAAGCTTCATATAGTGACTGAACGATATTATTGGAACTAATCTCTAAATTGACGTTGAACTCCGATTTTAAAAAAGGTTTTAGAACTGAAACAATCTCTCTATTAAATTTATTTATTTCTATATTTGATGAGTATCTTGTTTTCGGTGTAAACTTTTTACCGAATTTCAGATTATCAATAAGCTCTTGATTTATTGTTCCCGTTGTCAGGTTGAAAAAACTCTCACTTTTTAGTGATTTTTCAATTTCATTTAATTCTTCTTCTGTATAGCTATCCATGGATCTGTACAATCTAATTAAGATCAATTTTTCAAAATGAGAAATTATCTTGTGCTTGTTTGTTAGTATTGATTGTTTCAGACTAATTGGAGAATAAGTTTCAATGCAGTTTACGATTCTGTATTTGTAATCCATTAGACTTAAATTGACCACCAATTCTGCTTTAAAGCTAACCCACATTCTTTCGAACTCCTCACCTGATGATAACTTAAATGTTTTGTTGTTCTGGAGTGTAGCAAACTTCTCTAATACTTCGTTTAAAACTGCAACTATCTGAGAGTTTAAATTTTTCAGGCTGTTCTTTACGATCTGGTCGGAACATATATGTTGTAACATTATACATCCATATATGATTTCAAGAAATGAAATCATTTTTCTGAAAGTAAATTGATGAGATGCAAAATGGAATTAATATTTTATTGTTTGTTTTAAAGGGCCTATCCTTTTAAAAACAAATTACAATATGAAACACTATAAAAATAACTTTGATGTATATATAAAAGAAATGTTCTGTATAAACTTATGTAAACAACTGCAACGATATTGATATTCATTGTGGTTACCTTTGACATATTTAAAACGAAGTTTTTTTACTTGAATGCAAAAATAAATAAATATTTTACTAGTTAACTGGATTATGTTTTAAATAGATTGTAGTTTGAGATCTTGATATTTAAATTCTATACGAGCACTTTTGAAATCAAACTAAAGTAAAAATTAATATTTACAAGAAACACAGCCAGAAAATAAATTTAGCTTAAGATCGGGCATTAAAATTCTGAATCTGAAGAAATTGATAAACTTAGATCTGCTTTGTAGCGGTCTGGAGACGGTGAATAGTAGGGAGATGGTGTCGATCCTCTTGGACTAACAGTATATGAAGATGGCGTCATTGGAGAGTTTGAAGTTTTCTCTTTGCTTCCACTTCCAGTTGGTGTTGGTTCTTTATCAAGATTGTCTGATGATTCGTTATGTAGGATCAAAGACACATCTTCGTCTGGTTTAAGGAAATCAGTGATCTTGAGCTGGTCAGCATCAAGCTGTACACTTTGTTTTTCCTCAAAACTTTTTTCCTTCCTTCTTTTCTTGGCTGCCGCTGTCTTTGAAGGCTGCTGAAATTTAGCAGAGAAACTTTCCTTAGTTGATCGATCCTCTTCTACTTTTTCTTCTATCTTTGACATAACAACGCTAACTTTTCCCATGCACGATGTTTTAGTTGGTATTTTAATAATCCAATCAGAGGTGGGGTTCAGGTTCTTTGAGGTTTTAGGCGAGATTACATAATTACCCCAATATACCAGGTATGAATCGATTATGATGGAATTATTTAAGTTTTTAACTTCTGTTTCAGAACCAAAGGCCCATACTTGGATTGATTCGCCTTTTCTTCCTAGTTTGAAACATAAATTCCATCCTTTTTGTTCGCTGCTGTTTAGCCTTGGACCAAGTGATTCCAAAACTTGTCCGAAGAATGGCCTACTGCTTGTTTTACCTATGTCCTTTGGTTCGAGTGGTTCAATTGGTTCATCATCTTTTCTGGACTCTCTATTAATGAAGTTTTCAGGCCAAATAAACTTTCTAATATACCCGCTGGTAGATGGCTGTGTTGAATCCACAAGGATAGTTTTTCCCTTGTTCTCCTCTTCTATCTTCTCTTCAGGGTTGTTGTTTTCGGTTGTGGACAAACTCCTAATGTTTTCGCCTAGTGCAAATTCTAGTTCTTCAGTTTCTTTGTTGATTGATTCATCTAGAAATCCAGAATCATCGCAATGAGTTCTAGTGAATTCCCTTATCTTATCCACGTTGACTTTGATTCCGTCTGCTTCCGAGATAAAACCAGATTTGAATAGATGAACTAGGATTTTATTAGCATAAGAGCTTGAAATCCCGAACTTCAGTTTCAAGAACTCCTCACTGGGTTCGTTGCCTGGCTGAGTGAGTTTGTATTCCTCTCTTAGAATTGAGTTTAGTACTCTTCTTATTGCTAGATCGAAAACAAACTTTGATTTAATTTCTTGGTTTTGCTGAGTATTAGACAGGTACGTTTGAATTTCCAGGTTGTTGCATTTAACTCCTGTTTTAGTAGCACAACCGCCGCAGATATGGGTAACAGATAAATCGTTTGTTTTATAGCACTCAGCATGGGAGTACCGTTTACACTCAGTACAGATTAACATTCCATTTTCATATGTCTGTATTCCGCAGATACAGAATATGGACCCTGGTTTTTTCCTGTTCACATCACTGTGTGTTTTCTCTTTCCGACTTTCGATTTTTGATTTTTTAACTTCAGGTTCTGTATAATCCGTCTTCTGTTTATTTCTGTTTTGACATTCGTTGCTATTCTGTGTTTGGTTATCTGTTTTTCTTTTCCTCCTTACATCTATATCCCTTTCGGTTTTTCTCGTAGATCGTTCCTCTCTCCTGTATTCTGTGTTTGCTGACCTCCTGTTAATAATAAGGTAGTATTAAATATTTTTAAAAACCCTTACTTTATCTTCTAAATCAGGCTTTTAAATTAATTTTCCATCTAAAATTGAGTATATTTGTAGCGACTTATTTAGGAGTATATTGGATTAAATAATTTTCAAATTCAATTTTTAGTATTTTCCTTTTTACCGATTTACCAATAAGTTAATTTTTACGTTCACGGAACCAGCAATCAACTTAGAATAAATTTCTTGGGCATGAGTCAAGCAATAAATAAAACTGATTATTAATTAAAAATTTAAAAATAATTAGTAAATTTTTCCTTCTAAAAACATACTTCTCTATAGACCTTCTAGAGTTCCATCCTTCATGTTTTCTTCTTGTGTCTTCGTCGCTTGTTCTCCTTTAAATATTATTTATTAACGGTCTTAGTTTAAAATCATTTAGGAATATGATTTATCTGATGTTTTCCTCGTATTTTCTAGTTGTTGGTCTTCTTATTAGTATTCATCAATTTATACTTCTCTAAACTATGTACAAATTAGGTGTTCTTACTTTTTATTTTTGTGGTTAGATCTTAATTCGCTTCTATTGTCTTCTCTTCTTCTATCTTCCTTGCTTCTGTCCCAGTTTCTGCTCCGATCTTCCTGTTTTCTCTCCCTTAATAATACTCTGTATTATATATATTGGGTTTTCATTTAATTTTTTCTCCTTACTTATTATCAGTGAAGTCGCTTGGATGTTTGAAGGAACACGCATTCCCTCTCCAGCAAGTTCCCTTTAGAAAATATACGCATATTTTCTCCATTCTTCTGAAATTAAAAATTTCATTTCTTCTATATTCTTCTTTTTCTTTGATAAACTATTATCTATCTTGATCCACACATCCAGAGATTATAGTAGAAAGAAATTCTCCATTCTGAATTTATTTTCACCACAATAATGCACTGTATGCCAGTTCCCTTAGTCCTGTAATAAATTTGGTGGTTAGGTTCTACTTTCGTAATTGGCCTTAGAAGACTTCTTCATCATCAGCCTATGGACGGGTTACTGCAATACATATACATCCCAGTTCTATGTTGAATTAAGAATCTGGTAGATTATGGATCCAATAAATCAGGCAAGAAAAAATCAAAGAAGCAACTGAANAATAAGAAGTGCATTAATGTTAGTTATTTTTTTTTCAAATTCACTCTTGATGTAGTCAAACGCATCCCTAAGTTCACCAGTAAGAAAATAGAAGTATGCCAAGAAATTTTTGCTCTTCTTGAAATATATTTGGAATTTCAGTTTCACCAATAGTAAAGTTTATTCTGCTAGGTACACCTGATCTGATGGAAAATGATCTACATTTTGCTGGTTTTAATCCCATTCCCGAACTTTCAATCTTGGATTTTATTTCATATTTAATTTTTTTGATGTTTTCTCAGTTCTGTTATCAGGCAAAAATCGTCAGCATATGGGAGAGTAATAATTTTCTCTTCATTCAGATTAAATCTACAATCATTCTTACTCTGTAGAAATTCAATGATTGGATTGAAAACCATCAGAAATATGATGGGACTAAGCGGGTCACCTTGAAATACTCCTCTTTTAAAGGGGAATTTATCAGTAGAGAAATTGTCCCTAAATACACAGGAAAGTTGGTTATTATACAGGGTGTTGATATAAAGCTGAATTTCTGCAGGAACATTAAACCTTTTGAGGGTATGTATTATGTATTGCTTGGCTTATAATATCTTCAAGGACGACATTATGCTCAATAGTGCCGTTAATGCCTGGCAGAAAGGTCTTCTGTACTTTCTCTTCAATATAATTATTTGCAGTTAAAAACTTGGTCAGTCTTTTTGCAAGAACGAGATGGTAAGTCTTTGCAATAGAAGATGTAAGAGAAATCATGCGAAAGTTTCCTGGGTCGTTAATCAGTCCTTTCTTGTGTAGTAATTTGACCACGCTGTGTGACCAGGAAGGGGGAGGAGATCCCAGAACATTCACTTTATTAAACAGGGTGGCTAATATGTGGTGAAGACAATTGAATTTGAATAATATCTCATACAGGATACCATCAGGACCTGGAGAGGATTTTAAATTTGCACTTTTTAATATATTTTTTACATCCTTTGGACATAAGGGCTCACAATTGAATGGTTCAAAATTTGGAGATTCATGAGTTATTGACAAAAAGGGGAGCCTGTTTAAACTGTTCAAGTCTATGATACCAGGTGTGCTGTATTTTTTTGAGTAGTTGGTGTTTGCAAATCCTAGGTCAAAGGTTGGTTTCAATTTCTCCTGTAGTAATGATCCCTTGACAGCTTGTTTAGAAAATTCCCAACGGTTTTTGTGAAACATATTTTCTTGGTGTTTGATAGTTTTCAGAAGGATTCTTCTTTTTTTCAACTTTTCTAAGCTCACTAATTGCTTTCAGACAGGAATGGAACTTTTTCCTGTCCTCATCAGTGCCTGCTCTGGAAAAGGCTTTCTTTCTCAAAACTTGTTTAAGATGTTGAAGTTCTGTGAGGGTCTTATTAGGATGGGAGATAAAACCTTTTGAATGCTGTTTTTTCTCATCAGCAAACAGTTCTTTGTTTTCTTCAAGGAATTCTGTAAGAAGAACGGGGAGTTGATCTCCTAATGTTGCTAAATCTGCTGGATCGGTACCTCTTGATATATGATGAAGAGGTGACAGTTTACGTTTTAGTGATGAATCAAGCACTAATAAATCTTCACTATTGATTGATGGAGCACAGTACTTTATAAGTGTAACTAGGAAAAGAAGAAGATTCGCCATTTAATGTACATTTGTGTTAACGGTTCAGAGTGACAGGTTTGACATATTGTCTAAAGGGTAGAATTCCCAGTTAACCAGTCATCTGGGGAGCTCACATGTCTGCTCGGGTTGACCGACTAAGCTAGGAACCCTGCCAATACAGCTGTTACAACAAATTCAGTGTTTGACCTTCTAATGACCTATAACGACCCAAAATGACCTCCAAATGCATAAAGTCATATTTAAAACCTATTCAATTTTTAGGTCATTAGAGGTCATTAAAAATAAGACACTATTCGTTGCTGCTACTGTAGTACCTGGTCTCTGAGCTTTCGTTTGATATTTTTAAAGCCATAGTTATATCATTTTTAATTTTATAGGTTGTTAAAGGCAGGGGTCAATATAATTCCCAAAAAAGCTGATTTTCTCGATCCCAAAATAATTTTTTGCCCCCAATTTTGAAAAAAAATGCCCCCATAAAAATGCCCCCAATTTTAAAAAAAAAATGCCAGGTCATTAGAAGATCAAACACTGAATTAGTAACTGCTACGGTATTGCCCGGGTTCCTAGCTTTCATTAGAAATTCATAAAGTCATAAAATTTTCAAGTTTAAGGTCATTAGAGGTCATTAGAGGTCATTATAGGTCGTTAAAGGTCATTAGAAGGTCAATCACTGAATTCGTTGCTGCTACTGTATTGCCCGGGTTCCAAGCTTTCGTTTGAAATTCATAAAGTCATAGTTGAAACATTTTCTATTTGTCAAGGTCATTGGAGGTCATTAGAGGTCGTAAGTGTACAATTTTGTTTTTGTTTAAAGAAAATAGATCACTAATCAGGCGTGCAGCCAAAAAATCCAAAATCTGAACCAAAAATGAAAGCAGGACCCCCCACCCTCCTCACCAAACAGTACATCTTCACCATCCCCTTTTATTTAACCAAATTTCATCATTAGAAGCGAGGTGTATGGATGTGAATCCTTTTTAAAACGTTTTTCATAACGATCATTTCATTTTTTCTTCCACGGGCAACGCCGGGCACTTCAGCTAGTTAAATATAAATATATACAGATGAAAAACTTGTCATTTTTTAACAATCATTTCATTTGAATTAATTTCTTGTAATATAGGAGATGATTTTTCCAGATCATTAATCATAAGTGATTTTTCTAGTTCAAATAATCAAAAGTTCGAACGGCGATAGTTCATAAACAAAAAACATAACTGTCGAGCTGAAGAATTGGATACCATATATCCCGATCGTCAAATCTCAAAATTCTCTGTGGATATTTCAGATTTTCTTTCCAATCCTCTTTTTTAGATATAACTGCTGGGTTCCGATCAATGAGAACTCCTCACTGATATTGTGTCAAATTTTCCAGCCTCTGATTTGCAGTTCGGTCACTCTGATTGGTTTAATTTTTGATACATTATCAAAATCAAGGTTATATCTGCAGATTAATATTGGTCTCGATATCTACAGTTCTAAAGTTTTCTGTTGAGGATTTATAATTTATTCAGGATGGGTCCTTCGTCAAGTGATCTAGGAAGCAGTATGCACTCCTCTCCTATCCATTCACCAAGGAACTCTAGTCCTGTCAATCCAGGAGGAAATCTGACCAACAATCTTCATAAAATGGTAAATTTTACTTGATCTGTTTTTGTACAGGTGAGTAAAAAATGTAAGCTTGTTACATGCATTTTTTAAAGTCATAAGGTTAAAAATTGATAAAATTTACTACAAATTTGCAATCAACATTTTTGCGGATTTTAAATTTATGATGAATTTTTCTGAAATTATTTATTTTTAATTTCATTTTTTCAAATTTCATTTTATTTCGCGGAATTATTTTAGAACTTAATGACAGTTAATTTTTTATGTCTAAAATCTAAAGAAAAAAAATAAATTAGAAAAATAGTTCCCAAACCATCGATAAATCCTGTACTACGTGTAGTCGACGAACAATCTACAGAAAAATTGGAATTGTTTCTTTTTGTTCCCTTCCCTTTTGTTACATTCTTTTTAAATTGGAATTAAGAAAATTTGACTTTTAATTCCTGAAACAAATTCGTTTTACTTATATAAAGAAATCCAATCTTACTAATATTTGTAAATGTTTAAATAAACTTGTGTTCAGGAGCTGACCTCCTCCTCTAGCTCTGGTATTGTCACTGACCACAATGTGTCTGACCTCTCAGCTATCATGGCAGATTTCCCAGATCTCTCCTGCACAGATAGGAGGTGAGATCTAACTAAATTATTTCTTGTTAAATATTTATTTAAAGGATTGTGACACTTTGTTAAAGAGACACATACTGGTAACCTTAAGTCCGAGCAAAAACGTTAAATTCACATTTTTTAATCTACAAATTTTTAATAAGTAACTTGCAGTTTTGATTTAAAGGGAGTGTTTGTCTAGACAGGTTAGTTGAGCTGAGAATGCAGTTTTTTAGAAATTATTTGCACGGTGTATAATCAGAAAGTGAAAATTTCTAAAATATTTCTCTACAAAACTGCGTTCTCAGCTCAACTACCATGTCAAGTCAGACACTCCCAAGATGTAAAACCGGCTAGGTCTTGTTGCAATGTTCTTCAAAACCAGATTTAAAGGTTACTATGCTACTTCTAGTATACAGGATCTCTTGAAATTACGCCTTCATCCCTTTAAATTTAGTTGTCAAGTTCACAAAATGTACATATCAATAGTTGGCTGATCTCTTCTATAGTCTCAAACCTCCAATGTGTATAAAAAGTAAGTAATTAAAATGTGTTTTATCAACCTTATTTTGTTTACAGGGCTCCTGGGTGTGAGAAGAAGGTTGCAGAGATTGCTGATTACGAGCATGCCAGGATTATTGCTCATCAGGTCGATTCTCATGTATATATATTTATGTATTTGTATCATTGTATGTCTGTCGTTTGAATCCAATAAACGGCTAAACCGATCAGACCCTAATTTTTCATGGCAATTCGTATGACCTTAAGAACGCTAACAAAGTCAATTGAACCAAGAACAATTTTGTCGGAAAAAAATTCGACATTTATGATTTTTCTGTATAGGCTATACAACAGAAGCCGGGTGGAGAGGAGAGAAAACCCAATCCTAGCTGGGCTGGATTCGGATTTTCCGCCAGTTTTCCTGATGCTGTTTTACGGTAAGGAATCTAAACTTTTTTTCTGAATATAGAAGACTTGCATCTTAAACTCATAGTAGCCATAAGGCATCCTTTAATGCCTAGAACATATTCTACGTTTGGATAATTTTTACTCATTCACGCAGAATTCATTGAGATGATTCGGAAAGTAAAGGTTTATGAAAGAAATTAGATCTCATTCTTCAGTGGACCGTGGAACAGGAAGACGACTTTTAGACAATTTAAGTTTTTGACTTTGATGTTAAAGGGAGTAACCGGCAAGACCGGCAATGTATGGTAGTTAAACTGAGAGTTTAGTTTTGTGGAGATAATTTATTAGGATTTATTGGAGACATTAAGACATATAAAACGTTTAATTTTTAATGATGTACAATTACTGAGTTTGAGCCCAAAGTCGACGTTCCAAATCATCCATTTGGGTGGTTACGTTTCGAGATTCTATTTTTTTTAAATTATTAAATAACGACGACAAAAAATGTAAAAATGTACAGTAAACTAATTAAGATGTTTTGGGGAAAAAAATTGAATTGAATTTTCTCAATAAATCAATGTTAGAATCAATTATTTCTTTTTCATAATTATTTTGAATTTTTTATTCTTTATGAATTTTTTCGCAGATTTATTCAATTTCTTCAAATGTCGTCTTTTCAATAAAAATTCCAGGAAATCTACAAAAAAATATTTGTGAACAATTAGACATTACGGACACCAGTAACTGAAAAAGATTACTTATTTTTGATAACAGTTCTTTTTTTCTGAACCTTTTCCTAAACAACTTATAATTTAAGTATACTGAAGAATATTTACTATAGTTTTCGTCGTCTTTATTCAGATTCTCGAAATAATTACTCAAAAATGAACAATCTTTGAGGATTTAAAGATTTTATTTGCGTGAAATTGATCGAATTTACAATTTATTTGATTCGATCCTCTGTAAAAACTCTGAAAAGTAATTTTTAGTACTTATCCCCAAACTTTATATGTTACTTCCCACTCCTGTATGCCGAGTCCATTAGCGCCTGGTCCAATCAGGGTTCAGTCATGTGTTTGTTGTCTATTCTGAACCAATAGAAATACAGGGTGGCCAAAATGTACGGATTGTACGGATTTTTTATTTTGTAACCCTAAAATTGTACGGAATGTACGGATTGTACGGATTTTTTTTCAAATTGTACGGATTGTACGGATTTTTATCCTGGAAATACACCATTTTTTTTAATTTTCACTCATTTCAGCAAATTTTTCATGAAAATTTCAAAAAAAATTCTCGTCAAAATGAAGTTAGTTTAACTTATTTTCTGCATTCTAAATAATATTAGATTGATCAATGTTTCAATTGAGAATAAAAATTCATTAATAATTTTCGAGATATGTCCCAGAAGTGTTTATTTAAGAATATGTTCCAGAAGTGTTCATTTGAGAATATGTTTATCTATCTGTCTAGCTATCTGTCTAGCTATCTGTCTAGCTATCAGTCTATCCATCTGTATATCTATTTGCATGTCAGTTTATCTATCTTTTTATCTATCTGTTTATATATCCTATCTGTTTCTCTGTTTATCTATATGTGTATGTGTCTATCTGTTTCTCTGTTATTTTTCTGTCTGTCTGTCTACTGTCTATCTATCTATCTGTCTCTTTATCTAATCTGAGAACATTCTCTCAGGTTTCTTCCGTTTATCTGTAAATATTTTCATTTTTAGTTAAATCTACACTTCACTCTTTCTAATTATAACTTAATCGTTTGTTTGTTAAATGGCCTAATTCACACCGATCTAAACAGTTTTAAAAATTAGAATCAACGCTCTTTAGTTCTCTAGTTCTCTGGTTCTCTGGTTCTCTGGTTCTCTGGTTCTCTGGTTCNCCGAGTACGGTGATCCCACAAAATGCTCATAATAAATTATTAAAACTCCGAGAATTTAAGCAATCTCTGTATTTTAGGGAGCGTCGACAGACTGAAAATAGGCTGAGACAGCGACCTGATGTGTCTCACATGGAATGGATTCATAACATGGCCCAAATTAAGGTTTGTGACATCATTTTTTTTATCCCATTCTGAGCAACATTATTAACCTTGTTCATCCCTACATTTTTTTACGGAGAACAGTGTTAATATATTTGTGTTCGCCCACGGGAGAGAAAATGATGCTTTGCATATTTTCATGAGAAAAATTCGCTCATTTACAAGAAGAGCAAAGCTAAATTTCAAAGTTTTAACAAAAATATAACTTTTTATTATTTATACATATTAATACTATCAACAATATTATTAATATTATCTCGAAACCACTTGGCAGTTCTCCCTGGTAAATCCTCGCTAATAGTTAATAAATAGTTATTTCATGTCTGATTGTTAATTGTTTCCAAATCTAGTATTTAGTTTTTGATAGGTTTTCATGTTTCATTTAATTTTCAAAAACTGTTCAGGAGGGTGAGGACATTGATCTCGAGCAGCTTCTTCTGTCACAGGTATAGTTCAGATACATTTCTTCTGTCACAGGTATAGTTCAGATACATTTCTTCTGTCACANTCCAGTTTTCTCCAAATTCTTTACCTGATGATATAACCCGGATTAGTTCTCCATTTATATATTTAGCGGTGATTTCCTCGAAAATAGCGTTCAGTTCTAAATCTAACTGCTTCAAGTCGCTTTTCTGCTCAAAACTTATCCCGAACTTGGTAACCGATATAAAAGCATATATCAGCTCTATAAAATTAATCATGTTTTCTGAAATTTAATTACTTTACTTCACAGGTATAGTTCAGATAGATTACAAATATTTGATAGTAAATTGTTATAAAAGCCGGACATTGGATTATTTGACATGGGCTGCGGGTACACTTGACTACAAATATTGTTAAGAGCGTTCGGACAATTTTTATCGTGTTAATATTTTTGTGCAGGGCTTGTCGAAGTATTCTGATGTATTTCTACGGCATGAGATTGATCTGAAAATGTTCTCTTATCTGACCGAGGATGAACTGAAGGAAATTGGGATTAACGCCTTCGGTAAGCTTTATGAAAGGGACAAATTCTAGTTTTGGAGAATTTTTTTTTCAAGTCTTAAGGGGAAAAATTTGGGGATTACTTAGTTCGCCGATTCGGTTTATCTTCTGGTCGAAAATGGATAGTGTCTATTCCCCCCTCCCCTTTCACTTGCATTTATATAATTTATAAATTCTGGATTAGATTTTTTTTTGAATTCTTAGATAAATTTTATGTAATGTAAATATTTGTTATTCTCGTATCTTCCAGTAATACGACCTATAAAGCTTCATAAGAGGGAACAAACAAACTAGAATAAGATTTTACTGTTTACAATCTAAAATGGAAAGGGTGCACTGTGTATATTTCCGCCCCTTGGGCCTCTACACCCCCCCCCCCCTCCCTTCTTTACACTAATCCTGTGAAAAAAGTGCATTTTCTTATATTATAGACTAGGTTGACATTTATTAAGTTTCTGGATGAAAATAATATCTATCAGATTTTTCAACTAGTTAACCCCTGTTTATGTTTAGGGCCCAGAAAGAAGTTGCTAATGCTCGGTGAGAAAATCCGCGGTAAAACTCTGACCGGAAACTAAGATTGCGGATTTTTTAAAAGTTGTTCTGTCAGGAAATTTAAGGACAGATTTTGTAACGTTGGTGGTGGGTATCTAGTCCAGCTAGACTATTATTTGTGAATAGTATGTATCTATATGTAACACGCATAATACTCATAACAATTAAAAATGCGTAATGAACCCTATGTCTGTACAGTTATTAGTCGTGCAATCATTGGCTTTCATATTTAAAATGTACCCTCCTGTTTCATTCAATCAGACTTTTAATGAAACTTATCCGAACCTTAGTCTTATTCATCCAACATTACATATCTGAACAAAAATTAATTTTAAAAACTCAGTGAACCTTGTTCTCCCGAAAATGACCATTCCAGAACTTGGCATTGAAATAATATAAAATGTTAAGATGGGTAAAATGAAAAATGTTTTTTTGTTCAGTTATATCGTGAAGATAATTGTATTACTATTTTCCATTTACTTTCTTTTTGACCAAAAAAAATCAACAACACCCAAATGAAAAGTTTTTGACACATCAAGACTTATGAAATCTATTTTGACCATGGAACAACAAAAAGACTAAAAAGCATATTCAGGCAGTCTTTCACCATCTTCTGTCTTAGTTATATTTTTATATGATAATTAATCCTTTCGCCATGATATTCAATATTTGATGTACGTTGCGTTTAAACGCTATTTTACCAATTTGTTAATTATCTCGTCAAGGAATGTTTTATTTTCTCAACAATTTGATTTAAATCCCCTTCATTCTAATCTAGTAAATTATTTCATTTTAAAATTTGAATTGTCGAGGAAATTTAACATTTCTAGAACGAATGCTGATATGGCTACAGACGGTTTCGTCTTCGTTCAATATTGTAATTTCTACTTTTTTTATGTTGTAATTTTCTACTTTTTTTACATCAATAAATTTGATGTTTTCAGATATGTTTATTTTGTAGAAGAACGCCCCCGAATTAGAAATGGCTGTCGGTGAACCGGATATTTCATTTGAAGTGAATGGTCGTGAAAACAGTAAGGGGTAGAAGGCATTGGTTGAACCTGAGTTGTTCTCTGTTAACAACAAGAGCAACGAATTCTTTTAGTGTGGATTGCGAAATCAATTTGTTATCTTTCGTGCAATAAATATTTGCTTATTTGCACATTTTTTGGAGATTTTAAAAGTAGAGCCCAAGGGCTTACCAAAAATATATAAAATATTGATATGTATCACCAGAAGGATGGATAAGGATTGATAAATGATACATAAGCTTGAGACCAAATTTAAAGAATTTGAGCTGCGGCTTAAATTAGAGGCTCGGAAGTTCGGTTCCACTTAAAAATGTAATAAATTTTTTAATTGAAACTGCAGATTTTGGCGGATTTGAGACGCGGCTTAAATTCATTAAATTCGGACACTGAATATGGTTAAGATATTTAGAAAATTCAATAAAATTTATAGACATTCTAAAAACATGGCAATATGAATTCCGAAAGTTAGGAGCGCAATACCTAAATGCCTTAAAGAATTTAGACTTTTCCTTAAACTCAAATTTTCTATTAACAATCTCTTTGGAATAATGATATACTATAACGTAAGGCTAGGATCTCCTTATAATAAACAAATATGCAGTACGCTCTCGGTATAGTTCATGACCTCTACTACTAGTAAATAATTAGCGTACATCATCGCTCTATACACGATAACCTCGTCGAGTTTACGACATTAAGAATTGCTATTGCTAATATATACGGATAAAAAAATCAGTTTGTGACAAAAACTTAATTCCTTTAAACTGGAAAGGTGCTATTGAATTTTAACATACTGGATTACAAAAGATGAGGATTCATAACTGACTTAAAAATTAATGTCTCTTTTTAATATTCATAGATCCCTTCAGTTGCAAACTTTCTTTGCCTAGTAGGTTATCTAGACTAGCTTTTATTTATTTACTTGTCAACTTGTAATTCGATAAAAGCTTGTTAACAGTTTAAACTCAAAAACAAAAGTATTTATCTACCATTTGTATTATTTAAGATTTAGAAAGTACGAATAGATATTATGTTCTAAATTTGAAAGCTAAAATTGGAAATTTAATTGGGTTTAACATATTTATGATGAATTTGAAACCATTAAGATATCAAATCCAAAGGATATATCAAGATTGTGCATACTACGTAACTACAGTGATAACCAGAAAACTCCTATAGGAAGACGACTTGCAGACTCGAGTTGTAACTTTTAATGAAATAACTTGATGGTAGAAGTTTGAATAATGAAACCAATTCAATAAGTATATTTACGAAAATTTTAACAAACATGGTTTTAGCTCATTAAAAAGTCCAATAAATTAAATGCATCAATGAATTTTGAAAGCTTCTCTTGCATGATTTAAGAAGTTGAAGAGTTAGACTCTAGGAGTCCAACACCAATAAATCTTAATTAAGCCGATGTCTCTTTGATGCAGAACTGCATTGGCTCCGAATACACTACAATCAGGAACGCTAACGCCCATAAACTTCTGACACATCTCAGTCTCTCCAATTCTGAACATTATATTATTTTTTTTTCAAATAGGGTGTTTTTAATTAAACCTAAGCAGCAAATGGTAAAAAATATTCATTTTAATAGAAACTAAATTTTTGCATCTTTAGCTGTAATTATCAAATCCCTATGGTGTAAACCTATGCATTTTAAAATTAGATTTTTTGAATTTTTTTATTTTTTAAAAATGAAGTGTTTGCAACATCAGATTCAACAGAAAATTGAGAAATTAAAATGTGTGGCGAGTGCTAAGGGGATGGTTGTTTTATACGATATGCACTTTTCTATCCTATGATAAATTTTGATCAATTCATTCAAGTTTTTGCTGCTGAGTAGAACCACTATTGGGTACCGAAGATGAGTTAAATTTATTTGTAGATCTTCATAAGATGGAGAGCAATGCTTGCTACCTAGATTCACGGTACCAAGGGTATAATGCAAGGAAAGTTATTTCAGAGGTGTGCGCATCTTTTGTGCTGCAGTGTACTGTTTCTGGGCGGTAATGTAAAACAAGACGGATATCACAGCCTGACATTGGATCCATCTTTCACAAAAAAAAATCAATGAAATATTGTGGTCAGAGGAAACTATTTTGTGAATTATCAAAATTATCAAAATTTAATGCTTTTATAACCTCCTCGGATACTAAACGAACACACTGATGCATCTATTCTTGTTTACACAGTCCGCCTAGAGAGAACTGTTTTCAATACGCAACTGCAATTGATGTTCCTTGCATTATAACCTTGCACGGTTCAACCGTTCTGACTTTAGTCCCATTCGGCACCAAGGATTTAAGTCTTTGCGACAAACTCTGATTTTCTCATCTATAGATCTTTGCAAACCGTAACCGTTCGATATTTCAAGCTATGTATTCTTAAGGATAAAATAATCTACGTTTGAAGTATATAATGTCAACACCGTCAGGTTACAAAGATATAACATCTGAGTACGTATATGTCAACTATTCAATTCCAATTTACTAAATACCTGGTAAAAGTTTCAGGACAAGTCTTTCTATTGCAAGATGCCTGTCTTTTCTTTCTCCTAAAAAATGTTTGTTAAATATCAGGCAACTTTTTAATCTATTAGGGGCGGTTTACGCGCGTTTCGCGCTTGCTCGTAATTTATTTATATCTCAACTGTAAGATCAACCATTTTTTCGCATATATTTTTTGCACATCAAAAAATTTCGTTGAGTTTTTTGTTTAAAATGCTGTATTTCTAACAATGTTTAACAACTCAAAATCTCATATTTTACTAGATGTGCATATACCATGTATACTAGCTGGAGAACATAGCTTTAAACTTTGTTTTCTCTTTTAATTTTAACCTACTCAATTTAAACCTTTCAAACCAATTAAAATTTGAGGCAAATCGCCAAATGGGTGTCCGAGTTATGATCGGACATACAAACTATCAGAGTTTACTACTTTATCTATACATCTATCTATGTATATAAACTTGCAATCTCTTTTTGTCTGTTTGTTTGTCCGATCATAACTTAGGAACCCCAGGAGGGATTTGCCTTGAATTTTGATTGGTGAACTCGGGAGAGCCACAGTAATGTTCTCAACTTGGTTTTAAGATTCTAAGTTGAGTGGGACGAAAATTTAGTTGTCCGGTTAAATGGTTCAAGTGCGGGTAAACGGCGTGAGTTACTATGAGTATTAAGCAGTGGGCAGCGCCGGGTTCCCAAGCTAGTGTAGATATTTAGATATTTGAAATCTATTTACCCAGCAGAGCAGAGTCTAGGAGTTCCATCTGGATGGTTCAGCTTAACCGATACAGTTGAACCTAGTTGAACTCCTAGCTTATTCTCTAGTTCAGCAACTAGTTTAGGTCCTCGCAGTTCAGAAAATTTGTTCCCAGCTTGAACATATCTAAAATTACGTAGTAACTACAGTTATCAGGGTTAAAACAATATATGTCAAAGTACATAGTAACTACATTTATCAGGGTTAAAACAATATATGTCAAAGTACATAGTAACTACAGTTATCAAGGTTAAACAATATATGTCAAAGTACATAGTAACTACAGTTGTCAGGGTTAAAACAATATATGTCAAAGTACGTAGTAATTACAGTTATCAGGGTTAAAACAATATATGTCAAAGTACGTAGTAACTACAGTTATCAGGGTTTAAACAATATATGTCAAAGTACGCAGTAACTAGAGTTATCAGGGTTAAAACAATATATGTCAAAGTACATAGTAACTACAGTTATCAGGGTTAAAACAATATATGTCAAAGTACGTAGTAACTACAGTTATCAGGGTTTAAACAATATATGTCAAAGTACGCAGTAACTACAGTTATCAGGGTTAAAACAATATATGTCAAAGTATGCAGTAACTACAGTTATCAAGGTTAAAACAATATATATCAAAGTATGTAGTAACTACAGTTATCAAGGTTAAAACAATATATGTCAAAGAGGACTGTAGATATTATTTCAAGTGACCGGCCTCCATTTTTAGATTTTAATTCTGATTCACCAACGAGTAACAAAGAGGAAGAATGCACATGGGAATTTATCTATATCGTCTTTATTCCATGCAGGATTTTTTTTTGTAAATTATTTTAGTATATCGGTTTAAAATATTTAACACCGATATACTACTAGTCTCGGGATTTTCAAAATGTGGTCTGCCATTTCTTCACCTTCAAACTTAACGATTAGGAAATTTGTCTGAGTTGCAGTTTATTAAAAATCAACAAAACTGTTTAAATGTTTATCTCGGTAAATTTTAAGGATACAAAGAAGGTAGCTCATTAGACTTTCAAACTTTTTAATGCAAGTTATGTCATAATTATCAATTATCGAAAATCAAAGACGATATTCAAGCAGTTTCTTAATTCCCATGTTTATTGGGACACCCTGTATAAAGTCGGTTTTAATCTTGACAAAAGATAAATGTTGTTGTGTAAAGGGTACCGTTGTGAATCCTTCTTGTCACTTGTTAATTAAAGGGTCACTAAAATTACGTCAAATGTTCTTTTACAAAACTAAAATATTTGTGTTGTTGTTCTTACTTGTTGGCGTAGCGTTGAATCATTCCATTAATAGAACCGATCTTAATTCCCAAAATGTTCAAATCGCAATTATTTTGTTTATCTACTTGGACAGGAGAATATGTTGAATCTTGAACCTCATTGTACACTTTCACATCCATGTTGAATGTTAGGTGCATTTGTCCAGAAATACATTCCAAGAGGACATTGCTTGCAGCAAAGTTTGCTACGAGCTTGTTTCTACCAGTTGAATAACCATTGGTGGAACATGTTTTCCGGGCATACTTGTGGCATTTGCCAAATATTTTGGTTCCTCCCCAAACCCTAAACATTTCGTATATTGCAGTTTTCAAAGTTATTGTAAAGGGAACCTTTTTTAGTTTAAATTTAAATTTTTTTGTATTTATATATCACCTCAACAAAAAAGAATGAAAAATTATAAATGAATGTATAAATAAATAAATAAAAATGTTTTTAAACAAAAAGAAAGAAAGGAATTGAGGTCTTGCCATGCAAACTCAAATTTTCTAATCCCTATATCTTTGCAACATTGTGGTATATACTGTTATATTTCAACAACATAGAGTTAATCAAAGCTTAAATATTAGTTTTTGCTTAGATGTTAATTGCTTATTTATTCTTGTTCTTTTAAAGTTAAACAGAATTTATGTTATTTCCTCACCTGACGTCTAAGTCCACACTAAGCATATGTTCTACTTCTGCAATTGCAATAGAATTCTGTATTTCATCAATATATAGAACCCCTGTAGGACCCAGATCTACTGTTCCTGGTATCATTCGTGCTCTGACATTTAGAAAGATAAATCAAAATTTTATCTAAAATTACTTACAAGGTGTCCCACGGAACATGACAGTTGGTGAATAGTTTAGAATGTCTTCTTCCATAATTTTTTAAGTTGTTTGATATCAATTAGAGAATAATACAATTACTATATGGGACTCATGTTGTAGAAAAATTGGTTTCAAAGTAAAATATGTTTCCGAAAAAGATTTTTTTAACGAAATAAATTGCAAAAAGCCTTTAATATCTAATTAAGATTATGAAAGACGATTTTCATACTATTTACCAACTGTCATGTTTCGTGGGACACCCTGTATGTGTAGTTGAACCCATACAACTGTGGATTAGGAGGACGCGTGTTAGAATCCAAAGTATGTTTTAGCAGTCCAATCTATATAAAACATTGCAATTGTAGAGTTATTTTCGAACTACTGACAAACCTGTACCCGGTTTATCAAACACCGAACACGTAAGATTATTTAAATGTCGGCTTCCTATTCCTAAGTTAATTGTACATACAGTGATAACCAGAAATAATGGAATAGAAAGACAACATTATAGCAATAATTAAGCGTTTTAATGTTGTTACAAAGCAAATATTTTTACTACAGTGAAACCCTTAATTACGAATACATCGAAAGAATTCATCAAATGTCGTATTCTTCACTTTCTGATAATGGAATGTTGCAGATATTTAGTTTTTTTTAATTAAATGAACTCTTTAAAACTGTTCCCGCATATTCATGGCTATATTGCAATTGTAGAGTTATTTTCGAACTACTGACAAACCTGTACCCGGTTTATCAAACACCGAACACGTAAGATTATTTAAATGTCGGCTTCCTAGTCCTAAGTTGATTGTACATACAGTGACAACCAGAAATAATGGAATAGAAAGACAACATTATAGCAATAATTAAGCGTTTTCGTATCGTATTCTTCACTTTCTTATAATGGAATGTTGCAGATATTTAGTTTTTTTAATTAAATGAACTCTTTAAAACTGTTCCCGCATATTCATGGCTATTTATTTATTTTCGCAAATACTGAAATTTACGTAATGTAGTATAAAACTCATTGAAAAATTGTCAAGACGACATTTGATAAATTTTTTCGATGTATTCGTTATGAAGGGTTTCACTGTAGTAAATTAGCAAAGCACAATTTAAGTGAAAAGTGTCTATTTACACTGTATAATTGCTATTTCGAATGATCATTAAACTAGTTTAAGTTCTAACTTGAGTTTAGAAGTCGTCTTCCTATTTCAGAGTTTTCTGGTTATCACTGTAGATCTAATTTTAGGAAGTATAAATTTCTATCTTATTACACGGTAGATATTATCAAATGCCAGGATATAAAATGCCCTGCGTTGCCCGTGGAATAAACAAGCCAAAATTATTTAGTCTATACCCATTACCCACTACCCAACCCTTTGGCCATCTATGGCGAACATATACAGGGTGTCCGATGAAACATGACAGTTAGTGAATAGTTTAGAATGTCTTTTTCCATTATTTGTTCAGTTGTTTGATACCAAAGATCAATAAAAATATTATAAGGGAGTCATGTTATATTAAAATTGATTTCAAAGTAAAATATAATTAATTGCAAAGATTTGTTTTACTAAATATAACTATTTATTAAATGTCATGTTTCGTGGGACACCCTGTAAATACATCTATACATATATATATATATATATTTAAGCGAAGAACTTTTTTATATACAGTGATAGCCAGAAAACTCTGAAATAGGAAGACGGCTTTTTAACATTACTTAGGTGTATTTCATGGTGTTGTTACAAAGCAAATCGTTTTACTAGACACTTATTAAATCACCATTTAAGTAAAATAGGTATTTTACACTACAAAATAGCGATGTCCAATGCTCATTGGCCTATTCAAAGCAATTTTTTGTCGAAAGGTCGTCTTTCATTCCCGAGTTTTGGGGTTATCACTGTAGTATCTCCAATAACTTACTAAATGAATGAGAGCTAGCTAAAGGCCTAAAATTTACAATTTTGAGAATCCATTAGAAATATGTTTGGTTGTTTAAATTTATCAAACTGCAAACATTCTTTTTAGGGTTGAAAGTCATTGTGATCTTGACAGGCTAAATTTGCGCATAAACGTGTTAGGTCGACTTTACACTGGGTAGCACAGACTGGACAGTAGGACTAAACGTATATACGGTACATATTGTACCGGCTCGGATCATGCTACTTTTACAGTTTGTTGAAGTATATTTTAACCTTGCCATCACATTTTGTGCTTGAGCTGTAGTTCTACAGCTGTGTCCAGTATCTATTTCTTCATTTGGAAGATTCTCATAGACTGCAACATCTCCTGCAAATGTTAAACAATAAATATTTTCTTCATTTTTGAAAAGAATGTTCGCCAAAAAAGTGATAAAGAAAATCCCTTTGTTGCAGTTTACAATCTAAAACTCAGAGTATTTAATTAGTATCAAACATATTCTTTAATTTTTTCAATAAATATAATTCAAATTGAATTCTTATCTGCAACTGTTATTAAAGTAAAAATAATGTTTGTTTGTAAATAATGTTTTGTTTGAAAAATATGTTTTGAAGCCGACATTTGATAACATTGCTAGGTTTTGAAATAACGCGTTGAATAAATTCCGACTTGTAACGTTGTAATGTAGGTTTGCTTTTATTTTTCACGAACACTCCCTTTAAATGTTTAAAACTTACCACTATCGACAGCGATTTTAATGAAGTTTCTAGTCATAAACTCCCTTAAAATAAAATTTTAAAATAAAATATTTTTTTTTTTTTTACGAATTTTTACCTCAAAGAGGTTGCAGTAGTTCGTGAGCCAGCCCTGTCACTTCTTTCATCACAATATCCACAGCTCTCATAGGATACATCATCAATATTTATACTGGGCAGGATAAACTCACCAAGTGTACCCTAATCAAATAAACTATATGGTAAAAAACAAAGCTCTCATAGGATACATCATCACTATCTATACTGGGCAGGATAAACTCTCCAAGTGTACCCTAATCAAGTAAACTACAGGGTGTCCCAATAAAAATGGGAATTCAGTGACGAATTCGATATCGTCTTTTCATATAATTCTTTTATTTAGTATAGTGATACCTACTGAGAAAGCTGTAATCTGTAAGAGTTTCGTCTGCTATGTTCACATTTTGTTTGTTTATGTTTTGACTGCATACGGTTGTACTTAGTAAAACAAGAAAATTAAAGTATACAAACAGAGTAAACTTGTCCGTCTTCACTGTTCATCTTGCGGAGACATTATAGACACATCTCTACAGTCTTTTGCCCTTTTCATAAAATACACTCTAGCAGACATAATTGAAATTAGGTATTACAATGCTAATTCATAACAAAGACGATATCTAATTCGTCACTGAATTCCCATGTTTTTTGGGACACCCTGTATTTGGTAAAATATAAAGCTCTCATAGAATTCATCATCAATATCTATACTGGGCAGGATAAACTCTCCAAGTGTACCCTAATCAAATAAACTATATGGTAAAATACAAAGACTCTCTATCAATTTATCACAAAATGCAGGATGTAATGTAAATCCATATTTTTCAAAAAAAAATGTTACTTCAAATTTTTTCTTTTCTTTTAATTAAAAAATGAAATTTTTGAATGTTTATTTACAAAAGAAAACAAATAAATATGAATAAAAACTGTTTCTAAGATATTTGCTGCAATTCGTTTTTACTTTGATATTTATATGAATATACCTTACTCAGTAGACTTAGTAGTATCAAACAAATAATTCCCGGCATCTGAAATATTAGAAAATTATATTTTTTCTTCATTCAAGGGAGAGACAGACTAGACATGGAGGTTTCTTTTATTTTAGTTGTGAAGACGACATTTTGAAGAAATCTGTGAATAAAATTATAGAAATAGCAAAGGTAATGATGATAATGAAATATTCGATTCTACGATTCTATTTTGACTTTCATCGATAATTTCTTTCAAGAAATATGTCCCTTAACAGCAAATTAATATAAAAAATATTTGTTTTCATGTTTTGTCCGGATTATTAAATAGTTCATATAAATGTTTCTTCTGCTGACTGAAACAACTTGTGAAATATTACAAACGACTTTATGCTCTTATTTAAAAATTGAACAACTTAAAAATGTCTCATTGGTATCAAATGAATCCTAAAGTTTCTCTACAATAATACACTTTCAGTTTAACTGCCATGTCCGGCGTCTCTCCCTTTAAAGGAACATATTCTAAAATGAAATTTTAAAATTGGTAATTTCTCTATAAAAGTGAATTGCGGATTTTATGAGAAACTTAGATTGTGATTTACAGAATTCAGCTGGGATTAAACTACGATACCTTCCCTAATTTTGCTCGGGCTCATATTTAAAGGGTTCTATTAGGAATCGGGCATTCCCTGCTTTTAATCTTTAAATAAAGGGACCAATCCCAATTGCGTATACAGTCCCTTTATCTGTGGATTTCATATTTTAAGACCTTTTTTATAATCATAATTTAATAATCTATTCTAAGCGTCATAATAAACGGTTTACCTAATCCTAAAGACTAAATAAAAAAAAATAAATCTATTTTTACATGTTTTATAAATCCCGGAACCAGATTTTTGAATTGCAATAAGTAGATGAACTACGCAGACCACTACTCTTATGCCCGCCTAGTTTGACTGAACAGAATTCACGTGGATTTATCGATTCTGTCAATATTTCAGAAAACCGTGACCTCCGATTACAATTTGACCCCTTACACATAATTCTTAACCTTTTTTCTTAAATACTAATTATCGGATACGTTTTGAATGAAAAAGTATAAAATAAACAAATCCGTAAGTTTGAAGGATGTTGTATTATAGACCAAAACACGTTTTTTTTTCAAATAAAAGAAACCGAATGCTTCTCACTCTGGTTAGTCCGGGGTCAGAATTGTGGATTAATTTAGTTTATTAAATTTTGATTATCTAAAAAAGCATTTAAAAAGTTTAAAAAAATTACTCCGGTAATCTTTTAGATAACACACTATATGTGCCTCTTCAGATGATGAAGAGCTTCTAGTCTAGGCTTCGTTCACAATTCCTTTTATAAAATAAATCCTCTGTTGGAAATTCCAATTAGGTTTTACTCCAAATTTCCCACAAACAATCCGTCATAGATATACAATCCGTCTAGAGAATTAATTAAGCCAGCTTGAACTAGTTCAATTTATTCTTCATATGTGCCAGGGCGTACACAAGAAGGGGGCGGTGGTACCTTTGCACCCCCTGACGGACCGGGGGAGGGGGCAACGCCTCCCCTGAAATTTGGAGGCAAAAAATGTTCCCAATTTAATAAAATAATGTTCTTAATTTGATTAATAATATCACTATTATTTCAGTAGAAGTAAATATTTCCATCTACTGATGGGGCCGATATAAGGATTTATCTCTAATTGGATAATAAGATAGATAGAAAGACAGATATTACCGCCATATTAATTCTATTGTTCAGAATAGACAACAAACTAATGACTAAAACCTGATTGGATCATGCGCTAATGGACTCGGCTTACAGGAGTGGTTTGTGCTCCTTTTTCAAATTATCGAAAGGAATTATGATAGTAAATAAAAAAAAAACAAAGAACTTGGTATATCAAATCATAGTTAAGAAGATAGGTAATTACAATTAGGAACAAAATAGGTAAGTTAAGCAATTTAGGATTAAAAAAAAGAAACAATACAATAACACTAATGTTGGGTGAGTTAGGAACAAAAAAGGAAGAACTTGATTAGGAACATCAAATGAGGAACATTGACTATAAACAAGCAAAACAGAAAAATCTAGGAATTTTATGCATGCACTGAGAACATAAGAACAAGAACAATAAATGAAATACATAATCTAAGGAACAATTAAAAGATTGTGAAGAAATTAGGAACAAAAATAAATGATTTAGGACAGGGATTTAGGGTCTAGCGACACAGTGTTAGGTATAGGGAAAAAATAGGAACATTAAGCAAATTAAAAGTTAGGAACAAAAATGGAAGAACTATGAATTAGGAACAAAACTTAAAAGACTAGGAACGCAATTCGTAAAACATGAAATAATGATCAACACATGAAGGTTTATTAAGCAAGGAACAACAAATGCAAACATACACCTGCGCATTATGCAAAAACGTCATTCATACTGTACATGAATTTGGAACAATAGTCAATAATAGGAACATATAAAGCAAGTTAAGAACAAAAAAAAATACTAGAAAAGTTATATGCGTGTGCCGTGTAAATTAGAAACAATATTGCAATTTAGGTTAAGGAGTAGGGCCGGAACATTGCATATGCAAGTTAGATTGGAACAATATTATAAAATAAGTCTTCCCCAGGCCCGTATCCAGGGAGGGGTCATGGTGCACCCCTGAATTAAAGTTTATAAATTCTATGCACTTCAAAATGTTTCACTTTTTCACACGCATTATTATAAAATACCGCAAATTATTCCGAGTTCATAAAACTTCAGTCTTTTTCCGATTAGTTCCATAAATAAAAGGCATGCACTATAACACATCACATATTTTGCTATTCATTTCATATTGGAAAGGTTAGCTTTATCTTTATCTAGATGAACATTAAATCTCTTCGCTTACGTAATGTAGAGGAAGAGATTCAATTTTCACATGGATAAAGTTTGACATCATTCTCATGGATTTGAAGATCTTAACATGTTGTAATCATTGCAATACTTTAGAATAACCATATTTTATGCCCTAACAAAGCCAGATTTTTAAAAATAGGTTTAGGATTGGACACTTTTGAAATGTAATAATGGACAAGGATTTTGAGGATGGCTCGGAGGAGAAAATGAGAAGAATGAGGCATGGACGAGAAATTGTTTTTGTTTTTTCCTTCCTCCCCTGACCCCTCCCTAGCCGTTAACAAAATAATACATTAGAAAATGCATGTATGTTGCGCAATTTGAATTAAGCTTTTCCACGCACTAACATAAATTTAAAATCAGAAGGCCTCTCTTGTACATTTAAAGACATTAAATTTTAAATTGTACGTTTTTGAAGTTTCTCTGCTTTTTTCTTCGTTGTAATTTTATAAGTTTTAAGGGAAGAAAAACATTCAAAATAATTAAAAATGAATAAAATTAGGTTATCAAAAATATGTATTTTTTAATATGACATCAATTTTTTTTTAAATCTTTAAGGGTCAGGGGTCCATTTAAATTTCCCCCCTTTTTTTATATATATATACTGTATTCATTAATACATGACTTACTCATAGAAAAAAGGGGGGAAATTATATATATATATAATTGCGGAGAATCTTGGAAATTCTGAATTCAAAATGCGTGAGTTAATTCCAGTTCCAGCCTCCAGGCAGAATCAATGCAGAACACTTCTGTATAGTACAAACACGCGTGCAAATTTTATCTTTCTGCAGGTGGTTTAGAATTCCAGTGGAATTATAAACCCCTAGGAAGGATATCTGAATCCCTCCAGTGGAATTATAAACCCCTAGGAAGGATATCTGAATTCCTCCAGGGGATTTATAAACCCCCAGGAAAGATATCTGAATCCCTCCAGTGGAATTATAAACCCCCTGGATATATATCTTAATTCCTCCAGGGGATTTATAAACCCCCTGGAAAGATATCTGAATCCCTCCAGTGGAATTATAAACCCCCTGGAAAGATATCTAAATCCCTCCAATGGATTTATAAATCCCCTGGAAAGATATCTGAATCCCTCCAGTGGTGGAATTATAAACCCATAGGAAGTGTATCTGAATTCCTCCACTGGAATTATAAACCCATAGGAAGGATATCTGAATCCCTCCAGTGAAATTATAAACCCCCTGGAAAGATATCTGAATCCCTCCAGTGATGAGTGTAAATCACCCTGCGTAAAGTTTTAAATTGTAAAAAGCATTTTTTCAAACCCCTCCAGTGAAAATGAATTCCCTCTGGTGGTCTCCAGTGGAGTCAAAATCTTACAAGGAACTTCTGTGACTCCTTTAATTTTGATGTGTTTTAGAATTCATAGTAAATATAAAAAACTGAATATGGTTACAACACTTAAATCTCTCTGAATCTGTCTTCTCTAACGATCAATGATTAATCAAACCATCCATAGGCAGAGTCTATATCCAAATAACTATATTTAGGTCTAATATTACAGGTAAAAATAAAACTGACCAATAGAATGGTCAGAAACTAGAATAGATTTGCCTACATGTGATAACATGATATATAGAGATTATGATGCATTTATTACAAATTGAAGTGGGGGGGGGGGGACTCAGGCTGGAAATCCCTTGATACATCATGGTAACCTTTCTTCACCTTTAACCTCCATCTCCTTCCTATTCCTGTGGTTTATTGAAGTATTGATCTACTCTTATAGTCAACCTTCCTCACTGTTTCTGATAGTGTCACTGAGTCGATGAAAACCTTTTCTCCTACATTTCCCACTGTACTTGGAACGTTGGGGCACATCTTTTGCTTGATGCTTCTTTCTTTGGATAAACATATGTCACAACACAATGTTCCACCTTTTTTTCAAAAAACGATCGCTTTTGAAAAAAAAATTTTATCGACGATCATTAACGAAACAACGAATTTTATAAAAAATTACATGCAATTTTATTAAATGTCGTCTTACATGAAGTTGAAGAGTTGTGGGGGATCTAAAAACTTCTTGATATTTTCTAAAAAACTACTCAATGATAAGTACAGATGCCCTTCGGGTCGGTTTCCTCTCTTCCTTAACGATTGTTAATGAAGGGTTGTCATTAACGATCATTAACGAATGTTTGTTGTTAACGAAACATTGAGTTTTATAAAAACGATCTTTTAAAAACGAACATTTTGGAAAAACAAACTTTAAAAAAAACAATAGGTTTTAAAACGATCATTTTGTTTTCAATTTTTTGTCATTGTTTTCATAACGAAACGATTGTTAAAAAAAAAAATGAAAGCGTTAACATCCTTAGTCACAATGTTCCACCTGTCTTCTGATTTTATCACATGTGGAAAGAACAAAGAACGTCTCTGGAATTTGTCTAACGTTCTGTTAATCCCTCGATGTCCAGCGGCCATACCCTCATGACAGGTTTGGAATTCTTCCTTTAATTTCATTTCCAGCCTACAAATATGTAGAGCATCAAAAGGTTTGGCTGGATCAGTGTGTCTGTTGTAGCATAAAACGGCATTATGCATCACAAATAACCAGGGATTAAATAATTGTCTCAATGTTAGCACTTCCTGCACTTTGCCCCTTACTTCCAATAACTTTGATACTTTGCCATCCAATACCCACTTGATCACTTCTTTCCATACCTCATCTGTTTCTTGAAGTTACTTTAACTCGTTCTCATCAATAATCTCATAGCTCGTCTCTGGGCTCATGCTGTGTATACTGCAGGCGGATATCCGGCAAACCTCCGCCTTTCTTAGCTATTTCTGCAGGGTCCCCATCCAGGTCTGTAGTGAATATGATCTTGAGCTTTCCCACTATGTTGTCTATCTGGTATTCTGCATTTTCTTCTGCAGTAGGTTCATTGCTCGAGATAACGCTTCTGTATTCACATTTTCTAATCCCTTCTTATGGATATACTAAAAAGGGACCTGTTCATACTCAACTCATGCTAACATTTCACCTTTTCATACTCAACTTATGCTAACATTTCACCTTTGGTTGAGGGGTAGTGCTTCTCATAACGATTACATTTTCTTCCACAGCAGCTTCTGGACAAGCTTGACTTTTCCTAGATTTGAACTCTGCTATCAACTGTTTAAAATCACGTTCCATATAATCAGACCACTCAAATTTTTCTGCTTTCTTCATAGAGTTCGTCCTGGTGGTCAAAGCACCTGGGATTAAAACCACGATAATATCCCAGGAATAAGGACATCTCTTGACAGCTAGTTGGGCGTGATCAGTTCTGTATACCCTTGACAATATTTGTCCAGAATCTAGACCCCTCCTTGAGTGACCTTGTGTCTCATTCTGTTTCCGATTAAAATATTATTGTTTTCTTTTTCTTTATTGTAATTTGATTCCTGTCTTGGTATGAGCTTGTATCACTTTGTTTAGATGTTCTGAAAACCAGTAATCTGATGGTGAATGAACCATAGCCACATCCAACATCCGGCTACACACACTTCTGGCATTGGACAAGACAAAAGGCATACATATGTACCTAAAAGTTCCAAACAGACTGATAAATACCATGCAGTACCTTCTCCTTTCTTCAATCAGGGTACAGTGGCAGGCACTGTAGGTGTCACTTTCTTGAATATTCGTCAAAGTTTAAGCATCCTTGAATGTCACAGAATTAAAAAGCCTTAGATCTGTGACCAATCTTGTCCTTCCGTCCTTTTTCTTAACTGGAACTAAGGGTGATACCCAAGGACTGTTTGCTGGTTCAATTACTACTTTTTGTATCCATTCATCAATCTGTTCCTAAAAAGTTATCCTAAAACATTTTGATTACTTCTTCTTTAAGCTTCTCTTCTCGGCTTAGTATCTAATTCTAATCTATTTGGTAGCTCTCCTCAATAATCTCTTTTCTACTCTCTTCTGGCATGTACAATTGTTAAAACAAATTCGAAATATAAGGAAGACGATTGTACCGACTCAAATGCCGATGTTTATTCTCAAGATGGGTGTATACACAGGATCCATTTCCGCAATGAAGCACACACATGTAACCCTCGCTCCTCACCCCTCCACACCTCCTGGTACTCAGTCAGCCAAAAACTCTTGAGATGATCACAACTCAGTCTCAGAGAGCTACCCTGGCTCCTGCATGTTGTTAATATAGATACTTAAGCAGCAGCAGACGATGCTTACATCCAGCCCATCAAGATGTTCCAAGAGTTCTAACGCTCCTCCACAAGAGGAAAATCTCAACTCTAAAGAGTTTACTAATCGAACCTGGAAATATTGTTGGGGATTATATATCCTACAAGAGCCTGGAGAGAGTAGAAACCTGTTGTTACAGTTCTAGTTGATCTGCACTACCAACATGAAGTTCTACATAGCTCACATGAAGTTGCTACTGATGTTTGTCAATTTATAGTTTCTTTATTCATTTTTAACCAACCAATTTTAACCCCACTTGGGAAACTATTTCAAAACTTTCGTTTTTATTAAATAAATGTTAGAAATATCCATTTAGATCTCTTATTTTATTATATTGACTTTTAAAGTCAACAACAATGCACATGTACATTTTCTGATAACGTTTCATCTTCTTCTTCAGACAAATCCAGTCTACTTCCGCCTCTTAACTCTTCTCTTAGTCACGCCTCTTTATCAATATACAAACTGTAAATTATCCCTAACCTCTGTCCCACACAGAGTTCTACATCTTCAACATGATTTTTACATATATTGCTTGTACATTTAACCTATTAAACTATATAAGCATTTCTGCCCTGATTGGGTATTAGAATATAAAAAAATATAGAAACAACATACAGTAAAATTTCTTAAGAATACTTATTAGTCCTCTCAACCTCAAAATTTGTATCTCTATATTAGGGATTATCAACGACTAAAAAGTTTTTCAACTTTTTTAACAATTTCTTTTTGAAATATTTGACTAGAACTGGCAGGATTTATATATAATATATTTATTTCTATAAATTCATAAATAAGTTAATAAAGTAGCATTTGGTTGCAAAGATAATGATATTAGAAAATCAGAGTAAGTGGCCAAGACTCAATTCTTTATACAAATGAACGATAAAAAATATTTGAAAACGTAAACAATTATTATGTTTGTTTTCTTCTTGTAATAATTTATAAGCATGAAAAAGTTGAAGATTCGATACAATATATTCTTTAAACGTTTTTGATGATTTCTTTATATAATATCTTGATAAAGAAACACTTGAGTAAAAGTTTATGTGAGGGAGGAGAATGCCTGTAAAAAGATCATTTGAATAATTCAACAGGTATTTCTTAGTTTCAAATTAGTTTGGGATTTCTTGCCTGAATGTAAGTCTTGAGAAAGGTTAAAAATGATAATTATAATTTTGTATATACAACACAGATTGATAATCTAAGATATTAACATATCTATAAGCCCTGATTTCTCAACAGTTTTACTTCAGAAAATGGTTGGTCCGAGTGAATAACAACTAAAGTATTTCAATGGATGGATATTGATTGGTTTAAAAGATGGATATTTCTAAAAAAAAATCTAATAAAAAAATAAGATTGAAGTATTAAAATTTTGAATTTTGCAGAGGATCTTTTTAACTGTCTTTATTATGATAAAATCTCTAAACAATTTTATTTTTATGTAACATTTAAAATGTAAAATGTAAAATGTAATAAAACAAATGTAAAATGCAAAATGTAAAATATAAAATGATGAAATGTAATTTGTAAAATGTAACATGTAACATGTAAAATGTAACATGTAAAATTTAAACTGTAAAATGTAAATTGCAATAAGTACAATGTAAAATGTAAAATGGAAAATGGAAAATGGAAAAAGTAATATGTAAATTAAAAATGAAAATAAAAATTGAAAAATGTAAAAGGTAAATGAAAGAATTCGAAGCCTTTATCATTGTTAGTTCTACTTGTGTGATTGTTATGGTATAAAGTTAAGGTAAAAAGTAGATTTTAAATTCGATTTGATGGATTGAGAAATTGAATTAATTTTCGCCAGTGTTATGGGTTTAAAAATTTTTGAACAATGATTTTAGGGAAATTTCAACGAATTTTCCAAAATTTCTTGAAACTGCCAATTTCATTTTCATAAAAAGTTCATGAATTTAACAGTTTTTTGAATTTGAATAAATTATATTTTTACAAGATGTATCAAAGAATTTTGCGACTTTCAAATCGTAATGGCCCTTGAACATACACAATAAAACAATTTATTAAACTGCAAACTTTTTAAATTTGATCTTCTATTTGTTTTTAAAAGATTTACCTTTGCTGAACCGTGAATAACTTCGCCTTGTACAGGATTAAGCTTTTATACTAAAAATAATTTTAATTTTTCACGTTTGATTGTCATTTATTTACTTTTTAAGACATGATATTGCAGCATTTATTGTTGATGTAAATCATTTAAACGTGACAGAATACAAGTGTATTGGCAAAAATAAAAATGAAATATTTTTTTAAAACTTTAAAAATCTTAATTTTTATTCAAACCATAATGTTTTAAAGAACTGTCCATATCACGGTGGACTAAGCCAGTGGGGTCGGTCAAATAGGCCTAGGATTAGGCCGGGTACTGTAAAAAGTCTGAACGCGCCATGGGGGTTGTGATAGTTAGCCCTCCGATGGGACTATGCCAAGAAAATTGACCCCTGTCGTAATGTTAGTCTCGTTAGGGTGACGTACTGTACAGAATATGGTCATATGATCGGATCAGTACACGATGTTATCTGGCAGTCCGGTACGAACTGGACAGGTCCTGTTCGAATTCAAATTTACTACGGCCCAGTGTGATATTTATGTAATATACCTTATGTGTCAAGAAAATATTTTCTAAATAAGGTTGCAAATACTTGTAATATGTGAGATGAAATATTCACAAATTCAACAACTTTTTAATAAAATATTTGTGAACAAAAATAAACTACTTAACCTAAATTTACAAAAATTTCATAACTACCAATTTGCTATTTACACGAAGTTAAATAATTTAAAATTTGAAATTTTCTCATCTAAGCATCTAAGCATTTACAATTCTCAGATTCATCTATAAAAAGACCCTCTCCCATCCTTTAAAATCTGTAAAAAGATACATCCTAAAAATCTTGTTTTATATTACGGCATTACCCTGACAAAATTTCACTTTAAAACCGCTCACTATAGTTTCAGTAGAAGTATATATTTCCATTTACTAATAGCGCTGATTAAAGGATTCATAACTCTGATTGGATAATGAGATAGATAGAAAGATAGATGTTACCGCAAAAGTATATATTTCCATTTACTAATAGCGCTGATTAAAGGATTCATAACTCTGATTGGATAATGAGATAGATAGAAAGATAGATGTTACCGCCATACTATTTCTATTGGTTTAGAATAGACAACAAGCACATGACTGAACCCTGATTGGATCTGCAGGCGCTAATGGACTCGGGAGTGCGCTGTTTCAAATCAAATATTTTCTTTCAATGCTACTTTATTAAAGTGTTTTCTATTCAAGAAAACATTTCTTAAATTATTGATTTAATGTAATATTCAATGTAGATATATTACCTGAATTTCTAGTACAAAAATGAACTGAATAAGTATGATTTGGTACAACTATATATAGTACTGATGAACCCAACACCTGCTCCATAATAGATTTCTTATTGTATGACATTTTCAATATAATTTATTTTTTATTAAAATTTTGAAATTTTCATTTTACCAAAATGCCATTTATGACATTCCAGTGTTTATCCTTTTTATTACTTGTATTCTAATTCAATACTATCATATTCAACACTAAAAAACTTTTTAATTATAGACTCTGAGAGACAGTAAGATGGAAAAAATACTTACTTTTTTATCTGTCAGATTTATTATCACCTTTAGATGTTGTTGCATGAAATATAAATTGCTTTTATAGTAAAAGAATCACAAAGGAATATTGCTTCCGCACAGGTTCATGCATAAATATATACAAATAGTTAGTAGTTAGCCTTGATGTACATGGTTTCGTTGGTTAAAGTATGAAATAGAAAGAAAAAAGGATGTATTTTCATTGCCAGTTTAAGTCTTTAAAATAGTGAATGAAAAATTCATCTTTAAGGATGTAAATTTATAGGTTACAAACACATACACAAAAAGTTTTCATGATTTAAAGTTTAATCTACATTTTTTTTATTTATACATTTTAACAATTTGAAAGTGTCACAAAAGTAATTTATTGAAATAGAATAAAATCAATTTCTAGCCAAATATTTAATAATAGATAGAATTGTGCTTAAATTAGGTTTTGATATTGAATTTAACAAATTTTTTGATTTTTCTGAATACATTTTAACCTCCGAATATATATACTAAAGAATAACAGGTGGCACCAGGGAGTAAGGAATAGAAGGGAGATAGATATAACTGACCCGGTTCGCACCACCATATGATTATACATGCTTTGCAGACGAGTTCTCCATTTGTATATGAAATGTTCAGAATAGGTTATTGTATACGCAGTAAATGTACATCAAACAAATACTTCTTATACAAATGGAGTACTCGCCTGTAAAGCATGTATAATCTTATGGTAGGGCAAACCGCGTCAGTTATATCTCCCTTCTATTTCTTACTCCCTGGTGGCACCTGTATTGGTATAATTGGTATGACATTGTGAACATGTATTGGTATGTTATTGTGTACATGCAGTACACTGTTTTGATCAGTTACATGATTTCTCAGTATAAACAAGTATGAGGTATTGTTCAGTGTTAAATTGTAACACGGATCAAACATATAAGATAAGATTTCATTCTTTTCCTAAAGATGAAAAGTTTAAAAAAACGTGGAGTAACTTCACAGGAAGGCCAGGTTTCTGGACTCCGGGAAAATTTAGTGTTGTCTGTGCAAAACATTTTGAAAACAAATACGTTTCCGGACGAAAGTTAAGTTATAACGCTGTTCCCAGTCTCCATCCCTCCCACTATCCACATCAACAGGAACAGCTAGATAATGGAGAGGGTGAGTCTTGACTTATTTACAGGGGCGGATACTGGATTTAAGTGAGGTGGATGCTACATTTATTTCGGAACAAAAACATTCAGATTTAGGAACAAAAGTTTTTAAGATAGATATTTTTCCTGTTTTGCACTAGGGTTTCGTTCCCTTAAGTGCTATTGAGGAGCTATTCTGAAATCTCAGGAGGGGGGGGGGGATAAGCCCCCCCTGAATCCGTAAGGGGGGTGCGAAGGTCCTGCCGCCCCCCCGTATCCGCCCCTGCTTATTTAGTTAATATTGTTCTAGTGAATAACTTAATTTAAATGTGATTTCATTCAACCCTATGTAATGCTTATCACAATCTTTATTATCCATGTTATAAATATATCTTATCAATTTCAATGTGACCCTGACCGGCCAATCCGGTCAGTTTGATTTACCTGTATATATAAATAAATTAGTACCACATGAAACGTTGTGTTATACGGACGTATCCAGAGCCTTGATTTTGGCTAAAGATTGAGAGCCTTGAGTTTTGGCAAGAGATAGAGTCAGTGAAACTATAATTAGACTTTGAGTAGAGTAATCTAGGGACCTAGATTTATTACATGAAGGCGAGGTGCTTTAGACTTGTGAAAGGTCTAGTTGGGGGCGACCCGCCCTACCCCCCTCCCCTTACAAGGCCTGAAATATGTTAAAAATAGCATTTTTGTTGTTGTCTAGTACGATCCTTATTATCTATGTTAGTAATATATCTTAATCTTATCTATTTAAATGTTGACCCTGACTGGCCATTACGGTCAGTTTGATTTTACCTGTATATAAAATAAATTAGTACTGCATGAACCTTCGTATTATACGGACGAAGATAGAGCCTTGAGTTTTGGCTAGAATTGAGAGCCTTGAGTTTTAGCTAAAGATAGAGTCAGTGAGACTGTAATTAGACTTTGAGTAGTGTAATCTCAGGACCTAGATTTATAACAGGCTGTGTGAAACAGTTTTGAAAATACATGTTTGATTAATTGAAGTAAAGATAAAAAGATAACAAGAGAAAGTTTGGAAAGTGAATCTTCAAAATCCCCCCCAAAGATTACTGAACATCTGGACATTTATGTATTGTACTGCATAACCCCCACAGTCCAACACTTCCCAAACCAAATGCTGCCACCTGTTATTCTATAGTATATATATTCTCAGATTTAACACAAAATCTGAGTTTTATGACAAACTATTTAAATTTTTTAATGAAGGGGCGTCGTTAACGATCGTCAAAAATTGTAAGCGACTTACCTTTATTAACGAAACAACGATCTAAAGCTAAAAAACGACTTATTCGTTTTTACTTTTTACAAATGTTTATTTTAAAAACAACCGTTTTTAAGAACGACCATTTCGTTTTTAATTTTTTCTTTGTCGTTTTTTAAACGAAACAATCGTTTTTCAAAAAAGTGAAAACGATTTATTCCTACTTGTATACAAGGTAATAATGCAAGGAAAGTTAATAGCCCGGTTTCTTTGTCGAGCTGTAACTTGCTTTGACTCTGACTATGATTTGAGATCATAGCTACAAGGTTAGATTTCAGATCTTAGTCAAAGCTCATTCATAAGTCAAAATTTTGAGGTTGGATTTAGTATGATTTCAGATCTAGCCAAAGTACAAGTAATTTGTTTTATGAATCCAATCTAAGCTGCTCTGACTATGATTTGATGACAGCTGGCCTTCCTAACTGACAGCAAAAAATAAATTTAGTGGGGCATTCATATTTTCTCGACCACTTTAAAAAGTCGTCTTTGATTTTTGGCCTTAAAATTGTAAAATGATTGATAAATTAGATAGATGGATAGACTAATAAATACATAGATAGATAGATAGAGATAAAAGATGAAGAATAAAAAGAGAATAACAGAAATAATAAAATTATAAAAATATCTGATAAAAAAGGTTTATTTTTTGTTTAAAAAATCTTTTTTTAGTATTCAAAAATAAAAATAAATATTTTCAAGAAAATTTAGATTTTTTTAATTTATTAGTTAAAAAATTTAAAAAAATCTTTTTGAAATTATATTATTTTTAGGTTTTTTAAAATCGTAGAAATATTTTCATTTTTCTGAACTATGCATCTTGTTATATTATTTCTGGTCTCTATTTTCATGTTTTGCAATTTTAGTAGTTTTAATGTCTGCTTATTTGTACCCTAAATCATGGTGAATGCTTAAAAATGGCGAATAGTTTGTTCCCATTTGCTGTGATTTAGCTGTGAAGTCGAAGCTAAATCCAACCCCAGGTGTGATTTCCATCAGCTGATGTTTAGCTATGATTTGGCTCCGACTTCAAATCTAACCTAAGC